CCAGCTGAAGGCCTAGGACTGGAGCGACGACGCGTGCCCACAGAGAGGGCTCTGCGTGCCGCCTGTGGCACGCGTGCCATAGGTTCGCCACCACGGTAATAGGAGAACGTAGTCGGAAAGATGAGAAGGATAAGATGAGAAGTTGTCCGTTCATATCCCTATAACTTTCCCTTTGAGTTCATAAAAATAAACATCCATGCACACATGCTTCTTTTCTCTTTTGTCCCCAGGGGACTTAATGCAGGTCACTGGCTTCTTGCTGCCATTAGCAGTGGGAAATTAAGCAATCTGTGCCTACTAATTAAGTGATCTGATGGGTTGGTTGGCTGGTAGAATCAGATTATTTTGCTTCCTGCTATTAATGGCAACAGGAACCCAGCACTGTGTTTCCTCCCGGCCAGTGAGAAAGATTCCCTGTCCCTCTCTTGATAGATGCAGTGTTGTGTCAGAAACATTTGCGGAAGCTCAAAGAAATCGTAGAAAATGGCAGTCAGAAACAGTGATGCACTGTAATGTTTCCATTTTTAATTTACTGTTAAGAACTTCGTGCCCTGGACGCAATAAAAACAGTGGGGAAAAAAACATTGCTGGGCTTTCTTTTGGTAGAATGACAGCCATTCCTGAGCATTGGTTTCTTTCTTTGGAGTGTGGCTCTCTCTGTGTTACAAATGGCAACTCTGAGCTGAAGGATAGAGAGGACGTTGCACAGCCGGCACCCCAAAAAGAATGAAGTCAAAGTTTTGCTTTTTTTTTTTCCTGGTGAGAGTAGGAACGAGTGTTAGTGACCTCTGGCAGGCATTTAGCCCCATTTTTGTCCTTTGAGCCATCCCAAATATTTGAAATTGGTTGCTGATTTTTGAAACAAGATACATTTTAAGTTATAATGCTGGAGTTGGGGGGTTTTAATGCTAAAAATAAGAATTGGCTTGCCTGCTTGAAGCCTCTTGCTCCCATCCCCAACCTTATGGTCATAGAAGAACTGTAGCATAAAAAAGGCTTATCGTGACCCTGAATTTCAGCGGCAGGATGTCTGGGATCAGGTGTGCTCTGCAATTATTCATCCCTGATTTAAGCTAACTAGGAAAAAAAACACGGCTGCACTTCCCTCAGTTGATATCTGTATATAGCAGTGGTTCTCAACCTTTTTAATGCCGCGACCCCCAAACCAAATCAGAATGACCAGATTATTTAGTGAAGAATAGAGATAATTCTTGGCAAGCACCTGCATAGAGAGGACAATAGAGAATAACATGTTCCATCAATTTAATAATTCCTCTAACACAGTGGTTCTCAACCTTTTTAATGCCGCGACCCCCAACCGGTCGTAAGTCGAGGGCTACTCAACCGGTCGTAAGTCGAGGACTACTCAACTGGTGCAGCACTGTTTGCAGAATGGGACTTTTGGCGGGCTCAGCAGGGCAGAGACAGCCTGGACAATTCCTACTGGCTTTTGAAAGCCAATAGAATTAGACTCTATTCAAGAGAGTCTATTCTATTGGCTTTCAAAAGCCAATAGAATAAAAGGGAGTAGCACAGCTAAGGAAAAGGGGGGAAAAAATAGACTGCGTTGTTTGGCGACCCCCGTGAAATGATCGTTCGACCCCAAATGGGGTCCCGACCCACAGGTTGAGAACCACTGGTATATAGGAAAGGGAAAGACTTTTCTTTTTTTTTTTTTTTACCCGCCATCAAGCCACACCTATAGGAGATGAAAAACAAAATTTAAGCTATGGAAACCCTGCAGATCAATTGCTTCTTGATTTGCACATCCTGTGTCATTTACTTTGAAGCGTTAACAGCTAACAGACTGGGCTCAGCAGTATACAAAATCATTCTTCGTGCTGCTTATTCAAGAGCAGGCCAGGCTACAGTTAGTATTCTGGCACCCAAACCAGTAAGTGACTAAGTTTTACCTTCCCATGTTAGATCAAGCCAAATCACAATGCAAATTAGCATGTCACACAGCTACAGTCGGTGACTAATTGCTAAACTAAACTGTTTACTAATGTTTTGCATAATTAGTTCTTGAACTGGTGAGCCCGGTTACATTCCAGTAAGGGTGAGCCCTTTTCTTTCTGCTTAACTAATAACAATAAGTGTTAGAAAGAATGGCCTCATTAGATGTAAGGTTTAACAGCAGGGCCTCTGAATAACCTCATTTGTATTCTTCAAGTGTTGTACAAGGCATGATGAGATTGTGGCTGCATTCTAAAGTATATTTTGCAATTAAAGTGTCTCAGAAAGTCTATTTTATTTCTCTGAATATTAGCTCCCTTCAAGTTGCACAAGCCTGTCCAGACTTCAATGTCTTTCAGTCGTAATCAGAATATTTCTTCTTCCTCTTTTCTTCATTTAATGAACAGGCATATCAGACCCACAACAGCCAACTCTGTTGCTTCTGCTTTTGTGTTGTTTTTGTAGAGGGAAAGTTAGTGGTTGATGGCTGTGGCTTTTTTCTTTTTTCCTCCTGGTATAGAACAGATTTGAAAATGGAAGAAACATCCTTTGCTTCTTTTGTTCATAACAAAGGCTAATCCTGTCATTGCTTTATTCTGATTGTAAAATGCTCCTTTCGGTGTCAACGTGGTCTTGCCAGCATCTCAAGCAATCCGCTTCGAAACTGCAGTGTTTTGTACACCCTGGCCTCCATTATTATCTTTGCTGTGACTAACCTCAGTTGTAAAAGATTGGTTAACTAGATGGAAAGCTGGCAATGTGGTGAGGTGCTATCACTATGTTGATTTTCAGATGTACCTCTGGGTCAGTTAACAATCTCACAGGCTGTCCTGTGACGATAAAGTCATTGGTTGGGGAAATTGAAAGAGAAAGATGTATCTCCATTGGAACATTTTTTCTGCAGAAAGGTTCATGGTATGTAGAAAAAATGTTTATTACATACAGGTGGTCTTCAACTTACGACCACCATTGAGCCCAAAGTTTCTGTTGCTAACAAGATGTTAGTTAAGTGAGTTTTGCTCCATTTCACAACCTTCCTTGCCAGCAGGTGTTCAGTGAATCACTACAGTTTGTAAGTTCGTAACACGATTGTTAAGTGCATCTGGCTTCCCCATTGACTTTGTTTGTCAGAAAGTCACAAAAGGGGATTACGTGACTCTGGGCCACTGCAACCGTCATAAAATACGAAGCCCTATTGAACGGTCACTAAACAAACGGTTGTAAGTCGAGGACTACCTGGCTATGCCAACAATATAAGAGATGACAGTGTAGGAGCCAAAGATGATGATGATGATGATGATGATGATGATGATGATGATGATGATGATAAGGGACCTTGGAGGTCATCTTATACCGTTTCCAGACAGGGGGGGGGGGAAATTGATGACAACATCTCCTAACTTTGGGCAAGTTATATTCCACAAATACTTGGAAGTTTGGGATGGAGTAGGGAATTTGTGGTGGCAAACCATTGAGAAAAGTCAAAACTGAGCTTAAATACATGGATATTGTAAGCAGCTTAATCGTCCCATAAAGTTGTGGTTTTTTTTTTTAAGTATATTAATGGGCAAAATGATGGTCTGTGACGCTTTCTCATTTATAGAACTTTGATTTGTTTTGTCAGAGGAATATGCAACAACTGAATTTTTTTTGGCAAAAGTCTTGCTAAAATTCTGCAACACTTTCTCCCATACTATAATTTTCTCTTTGCTTTCCCATACTGCCACAAATCTTTTAATCTGATTTTCAACACGCCTGATAACCTCTGCTTTGTGCATATGGAGCTTTTGAAGAGCAGTGGGCCTCCAGTGGAAGAGCTGTTTCCTTTTTCTGCTTCAGCATATCTTGCTGAGAAAATACTTAGTCACTTTTTTAATAAAGGCAGAAAATAAAAACTTGTGTCTCCAGGCAAAATGTACATTATTTGTTGCGAGGAGGATGGACTTAGTTTCAATAGCCGTGAGTGCAAAGGTGGAAGATCAGACTAGAGACAGATTACCATGGAAAATATCTATTGTATGTAGTCTCTTGGAGTTGAAAATCAAGTTCTATGAAACAATATGCTTGTCTCGTTTTTATTTTGTTTTGCTCCAAATTGCTTTTTTGGAACAGCTTTTGTATTGCCCTAATTGTTCTGTCGTGTGTTGCATATCACAGTTGATACATTTTTACACTGTTAACCACAAGAGATTAAGTTGGAGTGTAATGTGCAAATATAGTGATGGTAAGTCTGTTGCAACAAAAAGCAGCATCTTTAAAGACCTGTCCTTCAAGTGTACATATACATGCCAACACAAAAGGAAAAAAGGCTCAGAGCCCTTCTTTGAGGTGGATAAGAAATATGCATATATGTATGTGTGTATGTAGAAAGAGAAAGAGAGAGGGAGGGAGGGAGGGAGGGAGAGAGAGAGGCAGAGAGAGAGAGAAAAGAAAGAGGAATTAATTAATTAATTAATTAATTGCTGGGGAGGAGCGTACAAAAATGCTGTTTTTTTATTTATATGTCAAATCTATATAACTGCCCACCTCACAAACAAGTGGCATTGAATAGTGCACTGTTCAACTTTTTGTGTCCAAGCATACTTTTGTGCTCCATGTTTGCATTCTCATAGACCACTGACTCACCTGATGCAGGAGAAGGACTGGCAGAGCCCAAGAGTGGAGTTAAAAGAGAGATCAGCCTTAAAATCCCTACATAGCCGTAAGCTAACTAATCCAACCACGCTTGAATTCTTATCTAACTCCAAGCAGGTGTTAACAATTAGTTAAGAAGATTCCTGGGCAGTTTAATTAAATCTTCACATGGACCTGATCTTTTGTGCCTACAATAAAGAAAGCCCATTTTTTTGTGTGTGTGTGTACGACGTAAAAGCGGTTGCTCCATGCACTAGAGTTGATGCTGTAATACATATACTAGTCTTTGAAAACTTGTCAGTAGAAAGTGAACATTCCTGTTAACTTTAATTCGCAGCGGTTGCTTTGATTTTTCTAAACTTTGCTAGAGAAGCCGTAGAATCATTTTTTTTTTCCTTCTCGCATTTTAGGCCCTATGAGAAAAAGGGAAAGCTAAGGATGCTGGAGCAGAACAATGGATTTCTCCTTCTCTTTCATGCAAGGGATCATGGGAAACACAATTCAGCAACCACCTCAACTCATTGATTCGGCGAATAACCGCCAAGAGGATGCTTTTGATGCCAACAGCGACATCACGGAAGATGGTCGACAGACGCCCTATGAAGCTGCTCTTGCGTTGCAGCAAGGTTTTCAGTATCCCACGCCAACAGCAGAGGACCTTCCGCCCCTCATTAATGGGTTTCCCCAAATTGGCATGTACGAGCCTCAGACCAAATACCCATCCTACAGTCAGTATCCTAATGGCTCTGCCAACGGCTTTGGCACCGTTAGAAACTTTAGTCCACCAGAGTATTATCAAATGGAGAACTCTAACTTAAGGCCCCATGAAATTCTGGAAAAACCGTCGCCTCCTCAGCCCACGCCTCCCTCAGTATCCCAAACGGTGATTCCAAAGAAGACAGGCTCACCCGAAATCAAACTAAAAATAACCAAAACTATCCAGAACGGCAGGGAATTATTTGAGTCCTCGCTGTGTGGGGATCTTTTAAATGAAGTACAAGCGAGCGAGTTTGCCAAGTCCAAGCATGAAGGGAGAAAAGAGAAGCGGAAAAAAAGTGGCAAGCATGACACTTCCCATTCAGAAGAACGCAAGTCACGTAAGATTCCCAAACTAGAGCCAGAGGAGCAAAATGTAAGTGGAGTAAAAAAAATAAAAAATCAGCTTTTTCTTCTTCTTTTTTTTAATAATGATGCTACAAAGCATTGTTTTTCTGGGTCTTTTTCTTAATATTTTTTTTTCATCTGCTTGTCTGCTTGGCTTTTATGGAATTTAGTCAGTCAGTGCCCAAAGGTTTGTTTTATTTTTATCCTGGTGTTCGTTTTTTCTATATTGTATTGATATGTGTTTTCCCAGGATTCACATTTTTAATATTATTAAGGATAGATATATATATCTTGCTAGATTTTTCTCTACCATATACAAGAAATCCAAATCACCCTTTGCAACAAACTGTGCAAATTATCAGGATAATTTATAAAGAACTTTAGATTCTTCTAGAGTCAAACTGTACAGAACTATTGATGGGTGAATATATCTCAGTAATTTTATTACAGCTGAGTGACATGACAGCTATTGAAGTTGTACGATGCTTCATTTTGGGGTATAATTAGGGAGCGAGAGTGAAAATCATATGCAGTACATTTTCTATCTGTTAACAACAATTCCTGGTCTTTGCATTTTCTGTCTTTTTCCTTTTTTCTTTCTGTATTAAATTGTGAGCCTCCCTATGTGAATAGGGTAACTGTATTCTGCACAGAAGTCTCTTAATGCTGAGAACAATTCATATAAAACAGGCTACACTTTATTTAGCTTCACATGATAATTTCTGATTTTCATGCAGTACTTGGCTAATCAAATCATCTACCCGAAGGGTGTTAAAAATAATATTTTAGATAAAAATAATTTTGGAGTTTCAAAATTTTTCTTCAATGCAGTCCAGTTGTATCTATACATATTCAAAATTTTCATTAAGTTCAACGGGGGTTATTCTCAGACTGAAGCCTTAACCGTAGATATGTACCGAAGGGTCAAGGGGAAGCATGTGTGATGACTTTACACAAACTTAATACTTGTCTCTGATGTTTGACATAAGTATGTCATTGCAATATTTATTTCTTTTGTTTGTTTGCTTTTTTTATTGGCGTTTTATCCAACATTTATTATTTATAAGTAGCTCAAGGCAGCATATATACTATACTCTTCTCTCCTATTTCCCCCACAGCTACGGCCCTGTGAGGTGGGTTGGGCTGAGAAAGAGTGACTGGTCAAAGTCACTCAGCCTGTTTTCATGTCTAAGGCAGGTCTGGAACTCCCATCTCCTGGTTTCTAGACCAGCACCTTAACCACCCGACCATATTGGTTTGTCTGATTGTGTCATTGCATGTACATACAGATCATATTTTGGCTTCCTTTCATTTTGTTATGATTCCATTGACTAAACTCCTTGTTTTGTGGAATTGGTCTCATAGTTCTGTCTTTAGCCCTTTACTTTTGACACACAAAGTTGTGACGTCACCCTTTCAGTCAGTTGTTCACGGTACTCTATATGATGCACAAACGTTTGCTTTGTTTCTGCAAAAAATGCTGGTCCAGGTTTCCATAAACTAGCTGAAAGTTTTATTTCCTGCTGTGATAGGATACACTGTAAAAAGTCTTCGAAGGTGCTGTTAAACTATGCGGAAATGTGGCATAATGTTGGTGGCCAGCCAACATTTTTTTTAATGTAGTTAAGTTATTAAAAAACAGCCTTTACAAATAATGCTATATGACTGAACAGCCAAACTCCTTCTCGGCCCCATGCCATCTCCCAAATTAAATGTTCACTTCATTTGCAAAGTAATTTCATTTGATTGTTAGTGTTGAAAGAACACTCTTAAGAATGATAGATGTTTTTATTATATTGATACATATACATATATATGTGTGTGTATATGTATATGTATATATACATATACATAAATATATATTCAATAATATACAATCTTTGAACTCCGTGAGAAATATAAATCAGCTATTTATTGTTAAAAGATTTAAAATAATAAAAGCAACTATTTACAATACTAAAACAAACTTAGCTTTCGCTGATCCACTGATATATATATTTAAGTACTGATACTATAAGATACAAAAATACAAAAGAAAATAGGAAAGATAAGGAAGGGGAAAGTGTAGGAAAAAGGAGGAAGGAAAGAAAAGGCATTGACTTTCCATTCCCTTTGGTGTAGTAGAATAAAATAATAACATCAAATCTCAACTTTTTACTTTTACGTAATAGTATAGACTAGCTGTCAGGTCGTCCTATCCTGGTGCTCCACAAAATAGCTGGCAAGCAGGAACAAGAGACAACGGTAGTTTAATTCACTCCGTATAGGAACAAAGTCAGCACTGGGAGTGGATTGCTCCCAGTGCCTTACATAGACTGCGTGCCTGCCACACCCACACCAGACCTAACCCCACCCACTAAGCCACCATCCAGTCCGGTCCACCCTCTGCTAACCCCGTCAACTTCTGCAGCCATTTGTCCATCGTGGAAATCGAAGCGTCCTTCCATTTTTAATAATAATAATTAATAATAATAATAGTAGTAGTAGTAGTAGTAGTAGTAGTAGTAGTAGTAGTAAAGTTGGAAGGGACCTTGGAGGTCATCTACTCCAACCCCCTGCTCAGGCAGGAAACCCTACACCATTTCGGACAAATGGCTGTCCAGTCTCTTCTTAAAAACTTCCAGTGTTGGAGCATTTACTGCTTCTGGAGGCAGCTGTTCCACTGATTAATTGTTCTCACTGTCAGGAAGTTTCTCCTTAGTTCTAGGTTGCTTCTCTCCTTGATTAGTTTCCACCCGTTGCTTCTTGTCCTGCCTTCAGGTGCTTTGGAAAATAGCTTAATTCCCTCTTCTTTATGGCAGCCTCTGAGATATTGGAATACTGCTATCATGTCCCCCCTTGTCCTTCTCTTCGTTAAACTAGACATACCCAATTCTCGCAACCGTTCCTTATATGTTTTAGCCTCCAGTCCCCTAATCATCTTTGTTGCTCTTCTCTGTACTCTTTCTAGAGTCTCAACATCTTTTTTACATCGTGGTGACCAAAACTGGATGCAGTATTCCAAGTGTGGCCTTACCAAGGCATTGAAGAGTGGTATTAATACTTCACGTGATCTTGATTCTATCCCTCTGTTAATGCAGCCTAGCACTGTGTTGGCCTTTTTGGCTGCTGCAGCACACTGCTGGCTCATATTTAGGTGATTGTCTACTAGGACTCCGAGGTCCCTCTCACAGTTACTACTATTGAGCATGGTGCCACCTATGCTGTACTTGTGCATTTGGTTTTTCTTGCCTAAATGTAGAACCTTGCTTTTTTCACCATTGAATTTTTATGCATAAAGTAATCTTGCTGCCGTCAGCATATATACCATCAAAGTTTCAACTTTTTTTCCCAAGTCTTTTTCGATTAAACCCAAAAGAAACGCTTCTGTTTCAACTTTATATTCACTTTGAGAATCTTCTGTATTAAGATGTGACTCCTACTCCAACATTTCTTTGCTTTGTCACATGTCAGACGTTGAGTATATATTGTATCTAAATAGTTACATTAAATTAGAGATTTCTCCATAAAAATCACTTTTAGAACAAAACAGGGCAAGGGCAATATTGTCAGTATTCTCTACTACCTTGCTATGTTTCAACTAAGCCCGTGGCAAACCAGTGTTGTAACTGGCTTATAAGGCAATGTTTTAATAAACTCGTGTAATTTATTAAACAGGGAAGAAGTCCTAGTTTTGGCCTTTACAATTTCATAAACAAAATGGAGACGTAGCTTACTGGCTGTTTTAACAGGCTTATAGCAAGAAGAAAAGGAGAACCTAACCAGGGTTTCGTTTCTAGCAAGGAACTTGAATTAGGAAATTCCTTCCCTTCGTACATGCTCGCTTCTAAAGATTCTGTGAAAAACACAGCGTAGAGAAACAAAACTCATTTCCGAAAAGCAAATTCGAGGCAACTGGGGAGGAAGACACCTCTTCATCCATCATTACAATTTAACAAAAGAAAAACAGATCGGTAAAAAGCCTTTGTAAGTACCTTACTTAAAACATTAAAAATATTTTTTAAAAAGGAATTATTGTCACGAAATACCTACCTAGTTCGTATTTCAGCTCAAGCGACAATACGTGTAGTCCTTGAGTTATGACTGCAATTAGCCCTGCAATCTCTGTTCCTAAGCAAGGTGATTTTTTTTAAGTGAGGGGGGCCCGATTTTATAACCTTTTTGTAATAGTTGTTAAGTGAATCACTGTGATTAAGTGAATGACTTGGTCGTTAACACGAATCAGACTGCCCCTTTTCACGTTGCTTGTTAGAAGTCAATTCAGAAGGTTGCAAATGGAGATCCGATGATCCAGGACACTGGAGCCGCGTTGTAAGTACACGCCAGTTGCCAGGTGCCTGAATTTTGATCACATGACCCTGGGGATGTTGTGACATTTGTAAGGGCAAAGACCTATTGCCGTGGTGGTGAACCTATGGCACGTGTGCCACAGGTGGCACGCAGAGCTCTCTCTGTGGCCACGCATTGTCGCCCCAGTCCTAGGCCTTCAGCTGGGTTTTATAAAACCTTTTTGCTTTAGGCCTCCGCTGCCATGTACCAAAAAAAAAAAGGTTCAATCAATCAGTTTCAACTTCTCATGGAAAAAAAAAAAGATCTCGCAAAGTTGGAATTGATTGATTGAACTTTTTAGTCCCACCTAGTCTGCCGTTATCACCGCAGCCACGCCCACTCAATGGGCCACATCCACCCAGTGGGCCACGCCCTTCCGGCACCCGATGATACATAAACAGGTTTTGGGTTCTAGTCTCGGTTTCAGTCTCTAAAAGGTTCGCCGTCACTGACCTATTGCAAGTCACTTTTTTGAGTGCCCTTGTCACTTTGATAAGTCATTAGATGACTTTCAAAGGATAGCCTTGGCAAACTGCTGTTGTCTCAGCAGTAGCTCTGTGAAGATCGTAACTGTGACCTATTTTATAGGGCTAATGAAGAAGACATTGAGAAGGCACATTTGGACAATCCTGTGATGGTGATAATCTTCTCAAAATGAATGTATGATATGGGTGACTCAGCTTCTCCAGTAAATGGGAGAAAGTAAAAACGATGCCCCTGAATAAAACTGGCCTGCTGTGGAACAGCTCTGACAGGACATTTCCACAAAATATCTGTCCATAAATGAAATAAATTTAAAAGCTGGCCAAGTGCTTTGCAGTCCCCAGAATGATTTGTAAGTTTAAATTACTTATTCATAGGTTCTAAATTTATATCCTCCTTTGGCGTTACAGTTAAATAATTCTCATCTATTTCTGCTTTCATTCTATACTACAAATTCAATAAACATCTTAAAATGGTCCTGTTCTAATTCAGTCACAGTTGGCTGTCTGCCTGGATTCTGCTCATATGTTTAGAATCAGCGAGGAAGGTTGTAATTCACTGGGTTGTGTATTCTGTTTCTTTATTGGGAAGAAAAGGTTGAAGACATGAATCAGCTTGCCTATCATATTGGGAAGGAAAGATACTGCAAGAGGACTCCTGCATTAATAGTAACAAGTTCTCAGAAAATTTCAAAGTATACTTTTGATTAATTCTGGAAGACAGCAGTGACTAACCTGTGCAGCAATGTTAAATGCTGCTGAAATTGAAAAACTATTTCAGAAATATGATGATTCCCTCAGAATATCCTTTTTGTTAAAGTCTAGATTTGTCCATTTATTAATAAACACATGCCCATTGCAGTGAGATGTTTTGGTGGTACTTAAAAACAGTGGTTCTCAACCTGTGGGTCGGGACCCCAATTGGGGTTGAAGAACCATTTCACGGGGGTCGCCAAACAACGCAGTCCGCCATTTTTTCCCCCTTTTCCTTAGCTGTGCTACTCCCTTTTATTCTATTGGCTTTTGAAAGCCAATAGAATAGACTCTCTTGAATAGACTCTAATTCTATTGGCTTTCAAAAGCCAATAGGAATTGTCCAGGCTGTCTCTGCCCTGCTGAGCCCGCCAAAAGTCCCATTCTGCAAACGGTGCTACACCAGTTGAGTAGTCCTCGACTTACGACCGGTTGAGCAGTCCTCGACTTACGACCGGTTGGGGGTCGCGGCATTAAAAAGGTTGAGAACCACTATCTTAAAACCTAAATGGTTTAAGTGGATCCAAAGTTATTCTAATCATCCTAGATCAGCCTTTTTGGTCCTGTTGGTTCTAATTTTCTTTTATAACAATATAAAATAATATTGTTACAATATAGCTTTAAATGTAAATATAAAGTGTTTTATAACCAGAAAAAAATTATATGTACTTATTGATGCTCTAGCCTTCCTTTTTCCATACTACTTTGACCTCTGCCTTGTTGTAAACCTCCAAAACATTAGCAGAAACGCAGTATTAATGGAGCTTTAAAATAGACCAGGAGGCTTACCACTGTGCCTGGGAATATTTTCTTCGGTAATCATTTATCCCTGCATTGATAATGACTCATTTTTTTCATTCGTTATTTTACTTTTTTACTTTTTTTTGTTTTAACTTACAGCGACCAAATGAAAGGCTTAGCACCCAGTCTGAAAAACCAAGAGAAGAAATGGCAGCATTGGATGACACCCCGGTTAGTACTCTGCGTTTTTAATTGTAGATGGTATTAAAACAGCTGCTCCTCAAGACAAAGAACTTTATTATCAGAATTATCAGGAGCCTCTCGGACCAAAATATTTAGGAAGAGACTCTTGTAAAAAGCATCCTAACTGCCTTGGCAGATGGAGGACAAGTAAGAGATTACCAGAGACAAAGAGGTCATCTATTTTTGTATAATACAATGTTGTGCAGGATGTGGACTAATTCATCTATGCGTTCATCGATACATTCAATAACCTATATCACATAATGCTCTGCATCAGAATATCTCATCTGTAATAACATCTCTTCACTTTTGTGTGATGTAATTTTTTTTTTTAATTTTTTTGGGGGTAATTCTCTTATAGGCGCAGCAGGCTACGTCTTCAGTTTCCACACAAGAGGCGAGTGATAGCAAGTTTGAGGTGGGAGATCTTGTCTGGTCCAAAGTGGGGACATATCCTTGGTGGCCCTGTATGGTTTCAAGAGATCCTCAACTCGAAGTTCATACTAAAATTAATACGAGAGGTCAGTAAAGAAAAATGTCTGAGCTGTGATTTCAGAAACTTTCTGAATAGCAGACTCGATTGATTATTCTGTTATTACTATCTCACAATTCAAACTGAGCAGATTAGATCAAGAATCTGATTAAATTAAAACAAAGAGATGACAGTCTTTGGGGCCCCTTACATTCTTTTTTCATATGTATACGCCAGCATATATCTGCATAATTATACCTAATGAAGTTTTAAAGGTCATGTTTGAAGTTGATGGTTAATATTTTTGCTCTTTTTTTTCTTTTTTCTTTTTTTTTCTTTTTTGTTAACGGGGAATGTTTTCAATTTGCCTGTGTACTTCAGGCAGGTGTGAGAGTATACTTCCCCGAATGAAAAATGTGAGTGGTGGAATTTCTTAGCCAAATGTTTTATTTTTTTTTCCTCTCTCTTTCTTTCCAGGTGCACGAGAATATCATGTTCAATTCTTTAGCAACCAGCCTGAAAGGGCCTGGGTACATGAAAAGCGGGTACGAGAATATAACGGACGTAAACAGTATGATCAGCTGGTGGCAGAGTCTGAGAAACAAAAGGTATGTACAGCCTGAAATGATCGCTTATTTTAGCAGCGAGTAAGAGAACAACGGTTCGTATAGAACCAGATATTTTTTAAAATGTATTTATTATTACTTTTGTTTGCCACCCATCTCGCTGCAAGGCGATTGTGGGTAGCTTACAACATCAAATCAAACCATGTATAACATGGTTAAACAAACCCAGTTATCTCTCTTTGATTTATGACCTGTATTTTTATTGTGATTTTATTATAATTTTATACATATACATGTATATAGGTATAAAATCATAATAAACATACAGGTTATAACTCAAAGTGTTATAGGTGGGTTTGTTTATTTCTGTAGAAACTTGCCTGTCAAGGTAGCAAATTACTGTTTGGATTGGCACTCTCAGGAAAGACAGATAATGCCATCAGCCCTTAAGGCAGGGGTCCCCAACCCCTGGTCTGCAGACTGGCACCGGGCCGTGGCATGCCTGAGACCGGTCCACGCAAACAAGCAAAGCCCCATCCGCAGGATGAAGGCAGTACATAAAACCACGCCCCCTCCGGTCCGCAGAAAAGTCTCTTTCTACGGAACCAGTGCTCAAAAGGTTGGGGACCTCTCCCTTAAGGCAAAAAAACCCCCCAAGGACCTAGTGTGATAATGTGGCTCTAGCTATGCAACATTTCTTCATGAACGTATCATTTTCTGCATCAGCATCATGGGCAAAACACAGGAGCCTCATAAAATTAATCTGTATTATTATTTTGAGAGTTTTAACTGAAAAACCGAAAATATATGAAACCTTGAAATATGTGATAGAAGGAAAAGCTAAGATGTTTTACGCCTTCTTACCATGGCGTCCCTTAAGGGCTAAAGCATCCTTCTAGCTAAGTTGGGATCTAATCTGTAAGAAAAGTTGCAGATAAACAGTAATTATTGACTTTACATTTGTGTTTTGCTTTTTCCGCTCATCTGGGAGATACAAAGAAGCTACAATGTTTGCTGTTTTGTTTAATATTAATTTTTCAGGAATGTGTTTAGGCTAAAGTAGCAAAAAATTGATAAAGAAGTAATCATTTAAATCTTTATGTAAGTGTGTGAAAGCCAGTGTGATCTAGTGGTTAAAGAACTAGATAAGTGAGCAAACCCAACATCTTGTCCTCCAGTAGGCATAGAAACTGGCTGGGTGGCCCTGTGACAGTCTTTCCCTCTCAGCCCCAATCAGTGTTTCCATTGTGATGAGCAGCTGAAAAATAAAACTTCTTGATAGCATTTGTTTGCTTGCTTTTTCTCAGCTTACATAGCTACTTACATATGCCTCTGAGCAGAGTCACCCTGTTGCTATGTGCATTGAAGAAGCACAGTACAAAGCAGATCGATCCTGCAACTAAGCTAGGATGCTATCAATAAGAACAGTAACATATAAGTATGTATTATTAATATGTTGCTTGGGCTACCAGTGTAGTAACACCTCTAGATAAATCTGTACTAAAACCATGCATGGAATAGTTGATAAAATCCTGGCTGTGGCATGTCAGAAATGTTGTAGAAATAGAAATGTGATGAATGATGATTGCAGTTTGGCTTCTCACAGCAGAGACAGGTGAGGGATGATACGATATAAACGTATAACATGATGGCTGGTGCCGAAAAATATATCATCTATTGGCTTTAAACACAGCAAGATTCAGGGCTGGGAGAAGCCTTTACTCAATTCATAGTTAAAATGTGGACTTTAGCCATCAAAAGTGATAAAGGCCACCAATGAGGTTTAGGCAGATCTGTGAACATTTATGTTGCCAAAGTCCACTTTTCCTGATGTTGGAAGATGTATATGTGTGATGTAGAATGCTAGATGTACAACTGCCTGATCCTTCGTCTTTGATTATGAGCTTGTTGAAAAGAACATATTTGAATCTGGAACAGAAGTGAGCAGCTGGTAGCTTCTGTAGAACGTGTAGAATCACGCTGCTCTAATTTGAAAGCCAACTATTGAACAATGATGGCATATATCCTCAATGGGAAAATTATCGTAAGAGTTTGATAGGCTTAATATTTTAAAAATACAACATGTCTTGTTCAATAGCATGGAGGAAAATGCTGAAGGCACAGAAAAAGTGGTTTGAAAATTGAGGCTGCTTACTTATTCATCAACCTTGCTGATTATACTTCCCTTAAATAATGTTCCTCTGTAGTTATGCAAGTCTACTGTAGTTATTGTCATCAAAGATGGATTGTGTAATTATTCAGATTATTTGAGTTGCCAAGTAACGTAAGGAAGCACAACAAACTTAACACTGTATGCCAACTAGTATTAGCTTGCAAAACATTTTGAACTCTGCTGACCTTATTTGTTAACGTCTTGTGGTGGTGTTGTTTTTTTTCCTCCTCCATGAAGTAGTCTGACTGTGTTGATAGTCAGGAGAACTTCAGAATCTGTACCATAAGTCAGATATTAAGAAGAGAGGGATGCCTGAAATAAGCTGCTTTAAGCTGATAGATTACTAACTCATTAGTAACACTGACACAGCTGTCTCTTTGGAAATACTTTGACATGGCAGCTGAAGCCAAACCTGTTTTCATTTGGGCACATTTTATAAGAGGGGCTTCATTCATGCAACATCTTTTTTTCTCTCCTAAGATTCGCAAACCCAGGCCGCAGAGAGAACGCGCCCAGTGGGATATTGGCATTGCCCATGCTGAGACAGCGCTAAAAATGAGTCTGGAAGAGAGGATAGAGCAGTACACCTTCATCTACGTAGATAAAGAGCCAGAGGAGGCATCATCAAAAGCCAAACGGACTGTCATGCCTAAGATTGAGGCGAAAAAGAACCGCAAAATTAAATCATCGCCAAACTCTCCGGCAGAACAGACCGATGACATTTTGGCCGCACCTTCCCCACCCAAAACGGAGGTCCGGAGGTATAGTCAGAGGAGACAGTCCAGTCCAGATGAAGAAGCCCCTCCGGTGAAAATCCAGTGGAAAACTGCTGCCGCCAGAAAATCCCTCCCAGCGTCAATAACCATGCACAAGGGAACGCTGGACCTTCAGAAATGTAATATGTCTCCAGTTGTTAAAATTGAACAAGTGTTTGCTCTTCAGAATGCAGCTGGGAATGGAAAATTCATTGATCAGTTTGTTTACTCTGCAAAGGTAAAGAAACACGCATCTCTCTTAAGGAATATTTGTGCAAACCAGTATTAAAGATTTTAAATTGCAGTCGTCCTCAGAACTACTTGGAAGTAAGTCCCATGGAGTTCAGAAGAATTTACTGTGAGGTTGACAGCTTCCTTAGGTACTTTCAGATTGCAGGCAGTATAAAATATTGGTGTGAATTACTTTGACCTTCAAATGTCAAGAATAAGGTTCAGTAGTCCTATTTTCAGGGCACTTGCTTCCGGGAGTAATACGTTGTGTGAAATTGGTCAGTGTTCAGGTATTAGATAGCATCCAGAGATGTCCCTGCACCCTATTTAATTGTTTGTTTTTTTCAGATACCATAATTCTCTTCCTTTGAGTAAATATGTGTGGACAGCTATTCACTAAAAAAAAAAGTGATAATTAGAGCGGAATTGTCTACCTGCTATCTTTGACAAATCTGTTAACTCATTCCTATTTCAAAAGAGTAATTTGCAAAAGCAGGAAAATTTAGATTCAATGTCAACGCTGCTAATATTGGATATTCTTGCTTTTGACAAATTATGCTGAACTGTCTGGCACTTTTAGAGTTAATTCAGAGGAAGGAGGGAGGAGGGAAAAGCCCTCGAAAATGAACTGGAAGTGAATCTTTGCCCTCTAAATTAATTGGAAGATGTGAATCATGACCCCAAAATAGGGGAGGGAAAATGCCTGGAATGTTATGTGCAAAGGGAAGGGAAATTCAGAACTTGGCATCCATCATGCCGTGCTGACACGTCTCTGCTAATAAAGATTTTTTCAGTTTAAACCATGCCTGAAAACTCTTTGAAGTGTTTCATTAGTCAGACACATGACATCCGCTTCTTTAATATTGAATCGCAACCATTATGCTTAAATTCACCCGTTCTGCTGTTTTGTAAGGTCATGCGTTTTCTCAGATGATCCCTGTTGCATACATGCACATTCATGGAGCTATCCTAGCTACCATCCCTGCCGGCTTTTCAGCAAACAACAAAAAAAAAAAACAAATTCATCCATTCATCATTCACTGTCTGCCCAGGCTTGAATCCCTGCACAAATCCATTTGCACTTAACATTTATGGAGAATTCTCAATCATCCAGGGCATAGTTGTCCCAAAGGTGCTTTTGCGAAAGGCAACTGGACTTCTTTTGTTTTTCCTTGAAGAAGTTTTGCTTCTTCAGTTCTGAAGCTTCTGAACAAAGACCTACATATATAGCACAGTGTGTGTGTGTGTGTGTGTGTGTACTGTGCTAAATATTTGAAAAAATGTATTTCTTTCAAAGACCCTAATTTAGAAATACTCAAAGCCCCTTCTTTTCATTTGTAATAGGGCATAGGAAACAAACCAGAGATAATCATCAAAGGGCATGACAAAGTCACTTCTGTCTCCATCCCGCGAACTGAGAGAGCCTCCTCACAAAGTGCACCCTCTCCAGAAACATCTGGGTTGGCAAGTAAGTAAAGTTTATGGCTCCTGCTTTAAGGCCAAATGAATCCGATGTGTTCCAAGGATAAAGTATTAGATGAAAACCAAAGAAAGGGCTTCAACTGACCTTCGATGAGGGCTAAGCTGGTTGATATGAACTGGAAGACCATCAGAGAACCCAGAGTCAAAGGATAGACTAAGAAACATTGAGGAAAGCCATGGCCAACCAATTCTCCACAGTGGTCCATGTAGATACTGGTAGCTGAGCTTAACTGGAATGCCATTTGACTTTTGAGAGGACCCCATTGGAAGCCCAGCTGAACTGTGGTAGGGCCTTTGCTCATATAAATAGCAGAGTGAAGGTGCAGTAGACTTCCCACTTTACGCTGTGGCCGTAGTTTAAAGAATCGGGTTGTTCATTTCAGCTTCAACTCCCAGAATTCCTCAGCCAGGCGCGCGTGCCGGGCTGAGGAATTCTGGGAGTTGAAGTCCACAAGTCATAAAAGGGCCAAGTTTGAAGATCCCTGATCTAGTCTTTATCTGAATTTTTAGATGAGAAAGACTCATCTGAAGCTTAGTAATTGGCAGCCTTTTCTTAAATGAACAGGAGGTGCTCATGGGAACTCAGCTGTATTCTGAAGCTACTTCTAGTCATGTATGGTTGAGTAATGCAAGGAGAGAGAGGCCCAATTAACTGGGTGTTTCTTTTGTGAGACTGATTTTTGGAGGGTAGGAGGAAGAGACCTTTGATGTACCAGGAGTGGGTTAAGAGTGCTGACAACATTCTATTGTCATGGTGTTTGGAATGAAATAATTAATTTCCAAGGTATGGTTTTCACGACTTGTGGTCCACACATTTAATGTGGTGTAGGAGGCATATTCTTTTAGAAGGAAGAATCATGGCTGCATTAAGTAGCACCTTCCAGTTTCCTTCCTGGATCCAGCCTTTTATTTTTCCCTGCCTTCATAATAGATGGAATGGACCACTATCTAATGAATAGGTTTAAGGAGAATTTGCAGATAACAAAATTCTCGATAAGAATCCCCTAAAGGGTAGGATCTCCATTTTCACTATGAAAGCTGCACCCTGTGTTGTGTGAAGTAGATGTTTGGCCTGAAGTACATAGAGGCATACATTTTTAGGGAGTTTGAACTCTGATTTTTCTGATGCCAGAGATTAAGCATTGTCAGTGACTGTCCTTGGAGTTGGTCCATCACCATATAGCACGTCCTCCTATTTCCCACAAGTTTTTTTTTTTTTTTAACATAAGGTGCTAAGAAGTGTTTTAAGAACATTTTGAAAGTGAATTGGCTCTTTAGATAGCGCGAAGCTATGCCTCCTGGATAGGCAGTTATTTTGCAAATGAAATTAAGAACAGATTAACCTCTTTGATGGTGGTTGGTTTGGAAAGTTAGCCCCTCCCTAATAATTTGAATTCTAGAACTCCCCTTTATCTTCGTATTAAAGCTGGTCTTTTCCCGAACTCAGGACTCTGCCTGAAGCACTGAGATGTATTGCCTGCAGCCAGAACGTCAGCTGGCAGATTAAAGTCTATGCCCTCAAGAAGAATGTAGAGAAATCAGGACTTTGCTATTGAACATCATCCCTCATTGAGGAAAGAGACAGAGAGAGAGAGACTCCTGTAATGGAAACCATTCTCTTCCCTCAGGTTCTGTAGAAAAGAAGCAACAGAGAAGATCAATACGAACTCGCTCAGAGTCTGAGAAATCCACTGAGGTTGTGCCAAAGAAGAAGATCAAAAAGGAGCAGGTTGGCTTCCTCCATGTAGAGAGTTAAAAATATATCGTAGTCATACCTGTTTTCACGTTTATATTGATGCCTTTTTATTTAAACCCCACCTACCCTCTCTATTATTATTTTTTTTTCAACTTTTTTTTTTTTTTTTTTTTTGGGGGGGGGACTCTCCTTCTTGAGATCCAACCCCTTAATAAACTCTGCTGGTCAACTGATTTCCACTGACAGCATCATTCATGCTTTGGAGACCTGAGAAAGTAGACCTTCTCATGAATGCGACACCCGTTTCTGTTACGAGCCGTGTTGATTTTTATGTTTCAGTGAGTTCTCTGGATTGCGCTCCACTTTGTCTGCATCTTAGTATAGCAGTTGGAGTATATTGAGGCTGGCACTTGTGGGGTGGGGGGTTGTTGTCTTTTTCCCTTTCCGAGAAAGTAGGCAACCTTGGCTCTTTTATGACTCATGGACTTCAACTCCCAGAATTCCTCAGCCAGCATGAGGGAAACTTTGGCCCCTTCATGACTCATGGACTTCAACTCCCAGAATTCCTGAGCCAGCATGGCTCAGCTTGGAAACCTCTTGCTTTCCCCTCAGCATGGCTGGCTGAGGAATTCTGGGAGTTGAAGTCCACGAGTCATAAAAAAGCCCAGATTGCCTACCCCTGGATTAGACCCTCTTGAAAAGTGGTTCTAAGAGTGAAGGCCAAAAGCCTGCATGCTGACAGCAAACAGGATGGAACATAGTTTTGGGTTGCCTTTTTTTTTCTTGTAAGAAGAAACAACATGTACAGGGTGTCTCTTTTGAGTATGGACCGCGAAGGGTGTATATTCCTTTTGGAAATAGTCAGTTGCAAGTGAAGAGGGGCGTGCAAGTTGCTTCACTGTGCCACTCATGCTGTCTGTGGACGATGCATGTTTCAAGAAGGTTATTACATTTTGGGTTTTCTCAACCATTTGGGTATTCTCGGTTTTTAAATTCAAAGGAAATTTATTTTGGAATATAAAATAGAACACACTTTCCCTAACAGCCCAAATCATTTGAAAAGACAGCAACTTCTAATAAATGTTACATATGGTATTTTTATTTTTTTATTATGATGATGATTATTTTTTTTACTTAATATGAACCTAAACACCTTCTGTTTAAAATACCAGTTCATTATTCCGGCTTTTAAGCTTTGGCTTTGCTGTCCCCGCAAAACTCTTCCTGAGTTAGATTTCCAAAATAAGGATTTTAAAGGAAGATTTCAACACAGGTTTTTTTCTTTTTAAATAATTCATTCCCCAAGTAATCTCTGCTTGCTTTATACTATGTAACTAATTAAATCAACATAGTATATTGTACTGATGTTTTTCAGGAAAAGCATATAGAAAAGCTTAATGATCAGAGAAGCACTGTATTGCGTAAGCTTGAATATGGAATATGTTCAGAAAGGCATACTGATATTGTAGGATTCAGCAACCATATTTGTTCACATCAGTGACTTTCCAAATTAAATCTGCGTCCTTTCAATTTAAGATGACAACTGGAATATTAATTTCAACTGAGAAACACAAATGTTAATTCTGTTGCAAGTGAGTGGTAGCAAAATAAAAAGTGATTGTCTAGATTTTATATTTGTATTATCAATTGTATCCTATACAAATCCTTCTATTGTATGTTTTTATCCATTGTACAATGAAATAAAATATTTTTCAAACATTATAGAACAATCCTTCATAAATATTTTTGAGATGTGTTTCTTAACCTGCCTATGTAAATCACCTTATGGAGAAACTGTTATTTTCTTTTTATTTTCAAATTACAGTTTTTAGCCTAAAAAGCGAGACCTTTAGCCAAGAAGCTGCTTCCATTGTGAAATTCACAACTTGGATGTTCCCCTGCCGAAAAGCGCCTCTCAGTGTAGGATCGAAGGCACAGAATACAAAAAGCCTTGCAGTGACTTCACAAGGTCACCCACCCGTCTCCCCATGTGCTGTGTCAGCGGTGCTTCCAGCTGTACAGAGGCCTGCCATGCATTTGCCCGGCCCTCTTCCCTCTTCTGCCTTTGCAGAACTCTATATGGGTCTATGACAACTCGCCACGGCCAACTTGCCGCGGAACAAGAGTTAACGCTAATATCAAAGAAATGGTGGAACAGAATCGTTAAAGAACGGACGCGAAAGGAGGGACAGAATGAAATGCGAAGGAGAGAAATCCAAAAAAAATTTTTAAAATTTATTTTAAATAAATTGAATGGTTAAAATTGTCCCGTGGTGAGTTGTCCCACAATGAGTTGGCTGTGGTAAGTTTGCGCGCAGTGAACTGACCGTGGCGAGCTGTCTCATTCCACTCTATATAGAGGATAAGCCCATGTCCTCAGATGCTCTTGCTTTTAAAGGGGTCCATAAGTTAAATGTCAATTGGAATTTGAGTGTCCTGCTTCTCTCTCCTTTTACAGCTATCGTTATTTTTTCCCCCCCTTCTTCTAGCCCAAAGCTTGGTAGTTCACCCTCCCCCAACCCCTTTATTGATCTTGGACAAAAATAGAGCCTTCCTGTCACTTCATGAATATATTGAATGTTTTTGAAGTTTTCTGTTGTTTAGGGAAGGCAGTCTTAATTAAATCCACAAAAGAGAAATATATATATATATTTGGGGTATGGGTGGGGGGAAAAAAACCCTTAAATGTGACTCCTTATATACTAACTGCTTGCATTGAATTTACATTTTCTCCTTTGTACTAGGGAACAAGAAATTCCTTTACTAACCACTCATTTTCCTGTCTAAACAGGTAGAAACAGCCCCACAGGCAGCAGTGAAGACTGGATTACAAAAAGGTTAGTGTGGCTTTTATTTCTTGTCGTTTATCTCGTTTCTCGATCTCTAAAGCTTTCTGACAGATTTATAAATTAACATTCTTAGTATGCTGCCGAATAAATATAGTTTATTGTCATGCTAACCCTCAATAACCAGGTTGTGTCAAAAGGCAGTGAAGCAGAACTTCTGACAAAGCAGGCTTGAAAATGCGCAAAATGAAAGCACAAACATCCTCTCTTAAATCTCTGGCAAGAATAATTAATAGAGTGAATTCTAGCCTTAGGTGTGGAACAAGTGGATTTGTTATATATCAGATTTCATTTCTTCTGAAAGACTTTAGGCGTAGGGTTCTCCCACTCTAGTTCTAAGCAATTTATGATAACGTGTGGAGCTTTATCAGGCTGGAAGAGTCAGGACCACACATTAAGCTCCAGTTCATTTGATTTATTGCTCATGCCTAGTCAACTAAAGATCAATAGTAAATTGGGCTAGATAAGAGTCAACTAAAGGAGAAGAGCAAGCCGAACTGGAAGGCAGGGTTAAACTTGTCATCGGTTTGGAGTCATTGCGTTGTCACAAAAGACCCAAATCCAGGAATTCCTTTGACCCTTATCTAGCACCAAAATTGATTGTTAGTTGACTATATTCTTGTATAGAGGTAGCAGTAATAAACTCTTCTCTGTTTTGAACTCAACGAATGCTTCTGGTTATTTGCACCTGATATCAACAGAATTCAAGAGGGGATGGATCTAGACTTTTAACGGGAAAGTAATGACTCTAGGCCGATTGCTCTTTATTCCTTCCCCAGGCTCTGCCTGTTCTTCCCCTACAAGCTTCAGGTTGAAGGGTTAGGGTGGCTAGTATTTAGGCCTGCTTCAGGTAGTTCTTTTGTGTCCCGCATTTGTCATATCTCCTGTCCAAGCATAGGCTATGTTGGGAACAGCTAGGAGAAGACTTTCATTTCCACAAAAAGGCCAACACAGTGTTAGGCTGCATTAACAGAGGGATAGAATCAAGATCACGTGAAGTATTAATACCACTCTACAATGCCTTGGTAAGGCCACACTTGGAATACTGCATCCAGTTTTGGTCACCACGATGTAAAAAAGATGTTGAGACTCTAGAAAGAGTACAGAGAAGAGCAACAAAGATGATTAGGGGACTGGAGGCTAAACATATAAGGAACGGTTGCTAGAATTGGGTATGTCTAGTTTAACGAAGAGAAGGACAAGGGGGGACATGATAGCAGTATTCCAATATCTCAGGGGCTGCCATAAAGAAGAGGGAATTAAGCTATTTTCCAAAGCACCTGAAGGCAGGACAAGAAGCAACGGGTGGAAACTAATCAAGGAGAGAAGCAACATAGAACTAAGGAGAAACTTCCTGACAGTGAGAACAATTAATCAGTGGAACAGCCTGCCTCCAGAAGCAGTAAATGCTCCAACACTGGAAGTTTTTAAGAAGAGACTGGACAGCCATTTGTCTGAAATGGTGTAGGGTTTCCTGCCTGAGCAGGGGGTTGGACTAAATGACCTCCAAGGTCCCTTCCAACTTTACTACTATTATTATTATTACCTCCTTCCTCCAAATTTCTGTCATCACTGACTCCAAACATTTCTGTTTGCCTCCTCCAAGGCACTGTAATGTAATAAATACCATTCAGATCTAGGTATAGAAGGATGTTTGATTTCATGTTCATTTGATAATGTATGTTCAATTGCTTCTGAGATGGCATTTTTTGAACAGGTAAAAGTATGATCAAAATAAAATACCCAAATAAAATATCCAAACAAACCACAAATCACTCTATGCTTGACTCTTCACCCTTTTAAAAAATGCTATAAAAACGACTTGATTAAGCAATATTGTGCCGATGCTGACTTTCCACTCTGTTTTTAAAATAGTTTATTCCAATGTGTTTTTAATTGTGTGATTGCTTTTAGTTCTTATAGTGTGAGCTGCCTTGGGGGGATTTTAATTTGGAAGATAAGGTATAAATGAACAGAAGATGTACCTTGAATCCCCTATCCAACAGTTAACAGCATTGTTGCACTGGAAAAGCCCTGCTTTTAAAATCGTAGATTAGCTTACCATTACACAAAAAAAAGTAGAAGAGTTGTAAATTTAAAAAGCTTTTAAGTCAGATATGCAGTTTGGCTAGTTCTCTTGCCGTTGTTTTTAATTTCTCTTTCAGTAGCTTACATATTTGAGAGATCTTTTAGAATTAATTCCGGTGTGTTGTGTTAAGGTGCCAGTGAGATTTCAGATTCTTGTAAACCTCTAAAGAAAAGAAGTCGTGCCTCCACAGATGTAGAATTGGCTAACTCAGCTTACAGAGATACCTCCGATTCTGATTCAAGAGGACTTAATGATTTACAGGTAAATGGTTGGCATTTATTCGGCCACAGCTTTGAAACTGACAAATAATTTTGATAAATCAGCTTCACAGATTGCTTTATGTTTAAAACCTTGGGACTGAAATGTTTGTGGCTGCTAATCTTCTTTGAATATATTTTGTTTGCAAACACAATTGTAAAGGATGTAAAAAATACCCCATTTGGACAATAAACAGATGTATCCTATCTACACTTAAATCAACATTGTTTACACAGATTCCATTTCTGCTCTTTCCTTAAGATCTATTGAATTCTATATTCCAAGTGTTATTGTTAGTCTTTTCTCTACATTGAAAGAGCAAAATATTGAAAAAAAGTAGAATTGCATAAAATGCTGCTGCAGACAAGGCTGGGAACAAACATGAAAATTATAGCTTTTAAGGCCATTAAGCAAACAAAATGGAAAGAGTTGGCCCAGAAAACGAAGGAGAACAGTTAACCAATCACTGTTAGCACTTGCTTGATGGGGGTGGTTAGGTTAGGGCTGAAATATTGTTTTTCTCTGCATTGTTTACAGTTCTACATATAATTCAGTCAAAGATTCAGATCAGAGAAATCTTAGTGTATTTTATCTTCAGGTTAGCAGTAACATCTAGCTACCCACATCTGGTGAGTCCCAATAAGGCAAAACCGGTTATGTGGTCCCTCCTGGTGGTCACTGTAACCGAGCACATTATATTATTTTCTGATTTCTTCTGAAAGGGGCTTCAGTTAGATCAGTGGTTCTCAACCTTTCTAATGCCGCGACCCCATAATACAGTTCCCCATGTTGTGATGACCCCCAACCACTTATGCATCACTGGGTGCCAGGGGCGTGGCCAAAGAAAAGGGGGAAAAAATGGCGGACTGTGTTGTTTGGCAACCCCTGTGAAATGGTCGTTCGACCCCAAATGGGGTCCCGACCCACAGGTTGAGAACCACTGAGTTAGATGATAAAGCTGAAGATTTGGAGTGAGGGAATCTGCATTTTAGGGGTGTTCTACTGTTCTGCCTTCAGGATTCTGAGCCACTTGTTTCTCTTTTTAGTGTCACGTATTTGTTTTCAAATGAAAGAGGCATCTTATGATTAAATGCCCCGCTTCTCACCGTAGACATTTGTAATGATGATACTAATCAACTTTCCAGGCGCCTCCACCATCGCACAGTGATGAGGAGCTCCATATAAAGAAGGCCAAACAGAAAGTGAATGCTTTGAATTTAAATCACTGGTTTGATAGTTTTTCAAGAGGGTAGAAAATATAGGGTTTGTTTTTTTTTTAAAGAAATCCTCAGTTTGAGACTTTTTTTTGCAAAATGGCCCTGGTGATTACACTGTAGTTAATATTTCCCCCGATGCTCCCCACTCCAAAACTGGCAGCATGAATTTTGCAAAGAGATATATTTGTTTATACAGAATTTAAGTTTTCTCATCCAAGCAATGCATTCATCTTTCTGCAAATTTCCTCCCTACAGTAGATGAGATTACACCAAGGACAGCATTTTAATAGACCTAAGTCAGAGCTCAAAGAAGTTATGGAAATAGTTAGCTGGGGTTTTTTTTTTTTTTTCCTCTTTAATGAACTGGATTTAACACTGATCCTTATTTCTAGAGCTCTTCTAAAAAATGGAAACAACTGTGCATGCTTTATTTTAGGGTAGTTTTGGAAAGCAGTCAGATAGCCCATCGGCCACCGCAGATGCTGATGCTTCTGACGTCCAGTCTGTGGATTCAAGTTTGTCAAGAAGAGGTTCAGGGACTAATAAGAGAGACACTGTTTGCCAGGTAAATGAAAAGTGTAAACCTGCAAATAAATTATGCCCCTCATCCTGATCAGTTATTTCATTTCTGTTGAATCACCTTTACCAAAAGGTAAAATAATAACAAGTAACAAACAAACAAACAAGAAAATGTAAGTGGTCGTAAGTGTGAATAATGGTCATAAGCCATTTTTTTCAGTGTTGTTGTAACTCTGAAAGATCACTAACCGAACTGTTGTAAGTCAAGGACTACCTATACCTGTAGGTTGATTTAATTTGCATCTGTCTTAAAAACCTTAGTTTAAAATGCATTGACAGGTTATCCATATTATTTTTTTATTCAGGCTTCTTTGTTATTTTATAGTCTAATCACATTCACGTCTTCTCGGAGATATGTGCGATTGTGTATCTTCTTTATTTTGTTCTTGCCTTCAGTTGGGATCTGGCTCCGCCTGATTTGTACAGTTCCTCTCTGTGCATCCCTATCCATATTTCACATTTATTTCTCCTTGCTTGCTTGCTTCAGTGGAAAAGAAAATTAGGGTTTTTTTCACTTGTTAGTTTTAAGATGCCTTCTGCAAGAAAACAAATTCCGTCACCTTAATTATACTGACCCTCAAATAAGGAAAACAACTTAGATGGCACCACCGTGAAGAGTAATTGCTGCCTTAAGTTCAAGAGAGGGAAGCTGACCATAACAGCACATACTAATCTTCATTCTGAGTCTCTGCTTGTTGGTCCTGACCTCCAGCTCTTTTGAAAAACTCCCCATGAAATGTTCCTGAGACGTTTTCAGGATATTTACGATGCTGCTTCCCCTCAGGGAACATCCACTGTTTTTCCTTGGGTGTCTCCATCATGCTGGTTCTGACTAACCCAGAAAACCATTCTTCACCCTTCACAACAACAACAGAGGGCATTCCTTGAAGTCCTTATGGATTTGGAAGATGGATGGATGGATGGGGAGCAGTCTCTCAAATTCAGCACATTGTTTCACTCAGCAGTTATCCGACACATACAGGCTGTTCAGGTCATCATTTAGTACTATTCAGTTTTCCCAGAGGTCTGTCACTCCCATTCGTGTCTGTCTGTCTGTCTGTCTGTCTGTCTGTCTCTCTCTCTCTCTCTCTCTCTCTCTCTCTCTCTCTCTCTCTCTCTGTATCTCTCTCTGTATCTCTTTGTCTGTCTCTGTCTCTCTCTCTCTCTCTCTCTCGAGCTGAATGCAATGAAATTTCATTTTAATGTATGCCAATTAGTGTGCATTCAAAGTGACAATAAAGTTATTATTTTATTCTATTATTTGATTCAATTCTCTGTCTCTTCCTCTTCCTCTGTCTCTTTCTGGCTTATCTGCTGCCATCTAGTGACAGATTTTAATCCCCCACCAGATCAGAGTTTCCTCCTTCACCCACGGAAAGATTAGAGAGTCAATTCTTTAGTTAGATAAGTGAGCAATTACTTTTGCAACTTAATCAGTCGTGCAAAACTAAAAAAAAGATGAGTTTGCAAACAAAAAAAGAAAAGATTTTCATCACCTTCTCATTCTGCTGAGTTTAAACATAAATATGGCAAATAAGACAAAAATACGGTGAAGATGATAAATTCTCCTTCAAGTTCACTTTTCACACAATAGGTGGGGAAGTCATCAAATTTCAACATCTAAAAGCCTTTTGCAAGGTGAACATAGCTGTAATAACTGTTTCTTACCTTCCTAATTATTCACATCTGTATAAATCAGGACCATTCAGGTAGTCCTCGATTTACGACAGTTCATTTAGTGACTGTTCGAACTTATAATGGTACTGAAAAAGTGACCTACGACCGTTTTTCACACTTAACGGCCATTGCAGCATCCCCATGGTCACGTGATCAAAATTTGCACACTTGGCAACTTGCTGATACGACGGTCGCAGTGTCCCAGGGTCATGTGGCCGCCTTTTGCGACCTTTTGACAAACAAAGGCAGTGGGGAATCCAGATTCACTTAAGAAACCGTGTTACTAACTTAACAACTGCAGTGATTCATTTAAAACTATGGTAAGAAAAGTCATAAAGTGGGGCAAAATTCACCTAACAAATGTTTCGCTTAGCAATAGAAATTTTGGGCTCAGTTGTGGCTGTAAGTTGAGGATGACCCACATTTTACTTACAAGTAAACCTCAGCAGAGCCCATAACAGCTTCCTAGTGATCCTAGCAGAATCCGTAACGGGGCCTAATGAACCCAGACATACCATATTTAAAGAGAGTTGTGTGGTCGTTAACAGGTTCTTGACTGGAGGCATAAATTATTCTTTATGTTCAACTGGAATATCGCTGCATGTTTGGGCTGTACCTGTTTGCAAGATCTTTGTGCCTCGTCATATTATTCCTGCATGCATGCAGACTTTGTCCTAGCGAAGCTGGGCTTGCATGTGCCTGCCAAAGAATATCAATTTCCCCACATACCATATTTGAGCAGAATGAAGAGCAGCTGAACAATTTAATGGGAAATAGTGGCTAGAAAGTCCATACCAACATCCGAGGGTGGCAGCGGGAGGCTAACTCTGCTTTCGTTCCATGTTCTTCTGATGTTCTTCTGTCAGTATATCTTGTCCCATTTTATACTGTGGCATGTGCTGGTCTCTGAAAAGCATTGCCAGAGTAAAGGAAGTTTTAAAATGGTAACGGTGATCAGCATGAAAGCATTTAGCTTTTCAGCTTGTTGGAATTAGAAGCTTTACGAGTTTATTTGCATTCTCTTTTCTTTTTCTTTTTAAGATTTGCGAAAGCACCGGTGAATCTCTGGTCTCCTGCGAAGGTGAATGCTACAGGGTCTTCCATATAGAATGCCTAGGATTGAGCTCACAGCCCGATAGGAAATTTATCTGCCTGGAGTGCAAAAATGGTAAATGGGTGAATTGTTATTATTTATTTTTGCCTTAAGAAAAAGGGGCTGGAACGTCGAAAACTCCGAACACTACTAAATAGGATCAGTTTGGCCTTTTGAAAGTCTGCTCAACGAATTCTTGCTTGCTTTCTCTTTCAAAACGGGTTGCAGTTTCAGATTTCGAGCCTAACTCCCAATCTGCAGTATGACAGTTAAAGTCATTTGCGTTTTGGCACTGGGTTTAAGCCAGTGTTTCTCAACCTTGACAATTTTAAGGCGTGTGGACTTCATTGCTGGCTGTGGAATTCTGGGAGTTGAAGTCCACACGCCTTAAAATTGTCAAGGTTGAGAAACACTGGTTTAAGCATTAATTTGATACCTATTTGTCCTGTCGATCTCCATTTAGGCTACCGGTCCTCTTGTTTTCCTTTATATTGGATAGCTAAAGAAAATGTCGTAATATCTCACTGTCACCTTTAAGCAGTATGTTGATGGTATCCAATTGTATATTTCAAGAGGCCCTTTAGATAAAGGGTCCTCAACCGTGGCAGCTTTAAGACTTGTGGACTTCAACTGGCTGAGGAATTCTGGGAGTTGAAGTCCTCAAGTCTTAAAGTTGCCACGGTTGAGGACCCCTGCTTTAGATAATCATTCATGCCCTAACCATCTCACGGTTTGGCTACTTGCAATGCTCTCTACCTGGGGCTGCCCTTGAAGACCTCCCAGAAACTTCCACTGGTCCAGAATGCAGAGGCATGACCAATAATGGGCATGTCTACTATACCTACGAAACATATCTGCTTCAAAAGTTGCGCTGGTTGCCAATTTATTTCCAGATGTGATTCAAGGTGCTGGTTATTCCTATAAAGCCCTACCTAACACAGAGCCTTTAAAGACCACCGGATTTGATTCTGCAGAGTTGTGAATTCCCATCCACTGGAATTCCTTGGCAGACAGGGTTCCCAGTAGGCCCCTCCTTCTGGATCAAGTGGGGCAGGCAAGTCCCATTGGGGTAAGGCAGCTTCTCAGATGCCTTGGACCCATGTGACATAGGGAGCTAAACACAATAACCTACATCCTGAATTGGACCCAGAAGCAAACTGGTAACCAATGCAGTTCACACAACAGTGGTATTATGTTTGCCAGATAGGGGAGGACGGTTATTCGGTTCCTGCCCCATAATATTTTGCAAACAGCCCCCCAGGTCCCCAGACTAAAAGAATGCCTCTCTCTTCCAGCTAACCCTTGACATTTCTCCTTTTCAAAGGGCAGCATATATGCTTTTCCTGCAAACTTCCTGGCAAAGACGTGAAACGCTGCTCGGTCAATGCATGTGGCAAATTCTACCACGAGGCCTGTGTCCGCAAGTTTACTACCGCCATTTTTGAATCCCGAGGATTCCGTTGCCCTCAGCATTGCTGCACTGCGTGCTCTATGGACAAAGATATTCATAAAGCAAGCAAAGGTAAGAACAGAGCAGCATAATCCCCATTGTGTGAGGCATTATAGTGAAAGCGCCAAATAATTTCTGTGTGTTTTGCTTACCTTCGTGGTGGAATTCTTGCTACAGGTTGGGAAAGGAAACTCCAGAAACAGTGGCAGTCTAGGTGGAAAATGTAGTTTGTTCTCAGATTCATTAAAAGGGGGGCATTCCGGTCAACCTGAACAGGTGGAGACAACACACTGGTCTAATGTGATTGCTATTTTCCCATGACTTCTATGGAGAAAAAAGTCTTCACGTTTCTGCAGTTGTTTTGTGTTGGGAGAACTATTTGCCAGGAACCAACAAACCTTGCCAAACAAAATGTCCTTAGGCTGTTGGTTTATATGAAATTTACGTTCTATACAGGAGAGAAGAGAATGGAAGCCTTTCTATCAAACTAAATGAACATCCATTCTGAATTAGTTAGGGAATAGGGTGGGCATACACATCCAATCTTAATTCTTTAGTACATGGCAAGATTTGCAATAGCATACAGGTGTGCCTGTGTATATAAAATACATCTACTTTATTTGCACACTGCAAGGAATGGAACCTAAGCCTAAAGATAGATAGATAGATAGATAGATAGATAGATAGATAGATAGATAGATAGATAGATAGATAGATAGATAGATAGATAGATGTATATATATATTGCTGCTGTTTGCTATGAAAAATATCAGGACAATCCAAAAGCAAAACCAAATTTCTTCCATCCTTTGAAAGAGATACTGTGTGATTGATTTCATCCTGTTTAAGATTCATCAGATGTGGGTAGCCAGATGTTAATAGGGAATTGAATTCACAGACCTTTGTACATTACATAAGTTTCCTTTCAGATAGATAGATAGATAGATAGATAGATAGATAGATAGATAGATAGATAGATAGATAGATAAGGGTAGGACTAGATATAGCATTTGTAGCTCTGTGATCTGATTGTTTAAGGAAAGATGGGCTGTATATATCATTCTGACAGATCTTGTAAAAACATTGTGTAATAGAAAAGGAATGAAAATATGCATAACATCGGACCGTGCATCTTGCAAGACTATGCTTCTTACAGATACTATATCTGAAAAAGAAAAAAAAAGTTGCTGGCTTAAAATATGCAGAAATGTGGGTATTTCACTGATCGAAAGCTAGTGGCTTCCTAAAGCACGTAAACAGAGGGTTTGCTTCAAAAACATTTAGTGAAGCTTCCTAGAAACGATGATTGAATGAAGCTCACCATGACCAGAACACTGTGGAGATAAACAACCAAGGAATTATGTGCTTAGAATTCTCAGAAATGAAATTAGGCTCTCATGTTTTGGTCTGGTTGAGTCCTCTTAAATTGTGTGGGAGCAAACAAATATTGGCGTCATATATGTTAGGCTTGCTGGCCATGTAAAGGGTGACGGTTGAGGTGCGGGTTTTCTCGCAATGGAGGAAGTAGGAAAATTTGCTTTCACTATGACTTATTAAAGCAATTCTGTGGAAAAATACTGGAGGTGTTGTCAATGACTCTTGGGTGTCTTTACAGCCCAGGCTGCCTCTTCCTTCTTTAGCCAAGTACAAACTGACATCTCTTTTTTGAGAAGTTTGTTTTATGCTTCATTAGTTTGTTCTTCATGAGATATTTCTGCCCTATGTTTTAAATCTGCATAAAATTCACCATATTTCATTTTCAAAACACTTTTGCATAATTCATTGGGATTTTCTCTGCCATCAGGAAAACTAAAAGGATACAAAACAACAAATTTGCTCCCCTAATAACCTCTGGAGAAGCTAATATTCTTTGAGTACCAACTAGACATTGCCAATGTGATCTGAGCATGTTTTCACTATGACTGGTGCTAAGGGGGTCTTTCCTTCCTTCCTTCCTTCCTTCCTTCCTTCCTTCCTTCCTTCCTTCCTTCCTTCCTTCCTTCCTTCCTTCCTTCCTTCCTCTCTCTCTCATTATTTTTTCTCTCTTTCTTTAAAAACAACTGAAAACTGGCCTCTATGCTGGATAGCATCTTCTGAATTTCTCTGCCATTCAGTGGAATAGTCCCAGGATATATACACGACCTTGCTATCCAAGTTTGCTCACTTCGGAAGTCAGGAGGAATTGCACCATTAAGAATGCAAAACTGCCCTTGCCTTTCAAAAATAATAATGTCTTTAACTGGCTACCGGAAACTTTTGCTGAATATATTATGCTAAAGCCAGAAAGGCACAGTTGGCTAGAGGTGAAGATGCTCGTCTCCTGTTCGGAAAGTTGAGAGTTCAATCTTAGGCAGTAACAGATGTTTCTCTATCAGGGTGCAAAGAGAGAAAATATCTGCTGCAAAGTCCCCATAGGCATCAGGAAGGGCATCTGGCCAGTAAACGCTCAGCTTCATTCAGTCACCCCGACTCCAGAGATTACAGGGTTGTAAAAAGAAAAAAAAATAAGCTAAAGCCAAACTTGATTGAGGTTTGGAAGTGTGTTCTAAACAGACTGTTATCTGGTGCATTTTATATTAAAACAGGTCGCATGGTGAGATGTTTGAGATGCCCCATTGCCTATCACTCAGGAGATGGCTGTATTGCTGCAGGAAGCTTGTTTGTGTCATCCCACATCCTCATCTGTAGTAACCATTCCAAAAGAAGCAATCACTCCTCATCAGCTGTAAATGTAGGCTTTTGTTTCGTTTGTGCAAGAGGTGAGCTCTGTTTTTTGCCTTCCTTTGGTTGATCTCTTTGATGTTGAGTCTTTGATTTATTTATTTATTTTTTTAAAATGAACTGTTACACCCCTCCAAAATTCCACACCTTCACACGTACTTCCCGATGTGCATCCCCATAGACAGACACAGACATCCCTTCAAGGAATTACAGTTGATCAAGAATTCCTCCTTGGATGTAGGGAAGAACAGCTTCTAATGACCATGGCTGGATTGTCTCTTAACCTTCTCATTCTCTGTGCCCGTCCTTAAAACAAGACAACGAGGAACTATGGGAATGGATGAGGGGAAATAGGCTGAAAACCGTGACTCAGATTCTGAGAAAGTTAATTTGACTTCCATTAATTATCAAAAAAAAAAGAAGAAGAACATGAATCAACCCATGTAAATTGATGAGTCATCTTGAAGATGGATGGATGTGTGGCTTCTAAATTAGGAAGAAACTCTTTTCCCCATAGTTTCAATTAAAATGTTTTATAGGAAGCAGTTTTCTGCCTGACTTTAAAAATGATCACCTTACTTAGTTAGAATTATGTTCTCTAATTCCCTGTCATTTGCCTCACCTTCTCACCCTGCTAATTTAAAGATATAAGAGTATTTTTTTAAGTTAACCAAAGCTCACCTCCATTACTAAAATTCACCTATGAGTAGTATAGATATAAAAGATATTTAGGTTGAATTCATTCTCATGTAGCAATAATGTGACAGCAAACTTCACATGTATGTTTAGAGAAAACATACCTAAAGAATGATGATAACTGAGTGATAAAACTCCCTAGTTATTTTAGAGGGAAATAATTTGGTATTAAAATAATTTAATAAATTAATTTGGTATAAAAATATATCAGAAATTACGCTCTGTACATTTAATTCTAGGCAGACATATTTATCCTACTGAAATAAAATTGCAGGCAACTATAGAATTTGCACTTGTTATATTCAGTCATCCTCAGTAAAAGCAACAGGTACATTAACAATACTTTTGACCATCATGTGTGCAGAACAGGAAAGATAGGTTCATGTTTAAAGAGAAAATGTAGGTGGAGGATAAAAATATATTGGGGCAGGAGGTTGTTATCAAATACATGAGAAGAAATATAGCAGTTGCAGTTCCAGGCAGAAACCAGTAGACAGAGTTCTTGTTGCATTCAATAAATGCTTTGCAGAAGAATAATATCTAAAAGATTAGAGAGAATTTTTTTAGAGTGGTGAACCTGAATTATATGAAAGCAACATATAAAGAAAGGATAATCCATTGATTTTTTTTACACCTCAAGGAGAAACTATCTATGTAGTTATTAAGAAATGACAGTTACTTGATGGCATACAATCAATCAGTTTATATCTCTTTCAGGGCTTTGACATAGGTTTTTAAACCAACATTACTGTCATTTGAATCCTTCACATATGCAGGGAGAAATCTGGGGATTATGTGCTTTTAGTTCTTATTATTAGCCAGTTTAGATTGCTTTTAGGTGCTTTTTCCTTCCTACTTTAATGATGATTTCAGTTTTATATTTGAAAGTAGATTTTTTTTTTTAAATTTTAGGGATTATAGAAAAATAATTAAATTTAGTGAGGAAAATGAATAAACTTTTAAGTAGTTAAAGCTTTTAAGTAGTTATTAAACTGGTTTTAAGTTTTGAATAACAGCAGTGTTGTAGTTGCAATTTTTCTATTGTTTGGAACTTTAGTGTCAGTTTAAGCTAGTGAAATTTTGATTCCCCAACATTGTTTATAGAAGTACAACTGAGTGCTCTTTAGTTTATTGCTCTAGCCTTGGCTTGGCTACTGTCTTGTGAAAACACATTAGATTATATTTTTAAGTTTTTTTTCTTGCTTAGTCCAGATGGTTCGGATGCTTCTGATCACGGAGAATGAAATTCCTGAAATCTACTCAAGATTATGCACACCTAGAATAGATTTCAGCAAGCAGTACCTCATTAGCTAAAGGCCAGAACAGTTAGTCCTTGACTTAACGGCCATTTGTTTAGCAGCATTGGTGGAGCAGTGGTTAGAATGCAGTATTCTAATTGCCGGCAGTTCAGCAGTTCGAATCTCACCGGCTCAAGGTTGACTCAGCCTTCCATCTTTCCGAGGTCAGTAAAATGAGGACCCAGATTGTTGGGGGCAACAGGCTGACTCTGTAAACCGCCTAGAGAGGCCTGCCAAGCACTGTGAGGTGGCATATAAGTCTAAGTGTTATTGCTAGTGCTGCTAATGACCCTTCAAATTATAATGCTGCTGGAAAAAATGACTAACCAACCAGTCCTCAAACTTAACAACCATCAGAGCATGATCACAATTCAGGCCTTTGGCAAGTGGCATGGATTTATGGCGGTTGCCATACCTCTTGAGTCACAGGATAGCCATTTATGATCTACCAACAAACAAAGTCAATACAGAAAACTAGACTGGCTGAATAACCACGGAATTCACCCTGAAATCAGGCGCAACTCATTTAACAACCGGCATGGTTTAGTGAGAGATGTTCCGGTCCTGATTGTGGTCATAAGCCAAGGACTACTGCTACACCCATTTCTGGTTTTTGCTAATGCTATTCTGTAGCAATAGCTTGGCATCCTGGTTCATAATGCTGCCAAGCAGATTATATGATGATGATGATGAATTTATCACCCTGCATGGAGAGATTCCTGCACGTCTATTGGCCTTTGCTGTGGAGACAGCAAGCTAGTCCCCCCCTTCAAAAAAACCCCACAAACTGTCTTCCCGTGCATGGAACTTTTGCTGTACAGCCTTTCTGTCCATATTTCCTTCTGGGGATAGTTTCATAAAACACCCAGACTGAACTATTATCCCCTTTTATTTAAAATTACTAACCCCAAGTTTATAAAATTAGTTTTGCTGCTACACTGGGGTCAGAAAGATAAAGCTTGTCGAATTCCACCTGTTGCTTGAAAACAGTTTGCAATTGTCACGATGCTCACCAGCCACTTTTGAAAAGTGTTGTTGGGAATGGAAAGGTATTGATCTGTGCAGGCAGCAGGAACTCTGGTTGCTACAGCAACGCAGGATGTCAGTATGCTCAGAGAGATGGATTCTTTCAAAGTGGATATCGTGACATGCTCGGGGGTCCTGTCCACCCTGCAAACACAAAGGAACTATTTGTTGCTTCTTAAATTGCACTGTAAAATATATATATTTTTTCTTTACAGACAAGCACTTTGACACCCATTTTGTTTAAGATGTTCTCTAAAATGCAGATGAGGGCAAGTCAATGTACATATCTTTTTTTGGGGGGGGGGAATTGAACCTTAAAAATATTTTCCAAATTGGTTAAAACATTAAATTAAAACAAGTCATCTTTAAAAAATAATAAAATACATGGAGGAAGCGGAAGACAAATTAAAATAGGACTTTTTTTAAAAAAAAATTGCTCAAAGAAGGGTACTCTCAGCTGTATTTCCTTGATATAGGTGTTACTGTGGAAACAGTACTTTCTTTTAATTTGATCTCACCAATGTAGCCCTGCATTTCTTGAGGACTAGTATTACCCTTTTAGAAAAAGAAAACAACTTTTTTAAATTATTTGATACAGCCCGTGCCGTGCCAGAAGTTCAGATAATTTCATTCAGCGTGGGTTGCGTTTAAATTAATAATTTAAAAAGTTTTCTTTTGAAATAAAATACAAAACTGTATTAAAAAAAAAATCTGGTTTGGGTTTTGTTTTGTGTTTTGACAACCTAACCCTAAACCTCCAAAGGCCATCCAAAACAGGATATAGAAAATGTTGAAATTCCCTAATGGGGCAAGGTGTTCCCAACTGCTTGGAGTCTCCATTCACACATAGATAGCTTAAGAAAATCCAAGCCTGAAGATGATACATTATTTAAATTCAAGATCACTCAAAAGTCTACAACAATGTATGACTTTTGAACTCAACAAACCAGAATTCCCGCTGCAAAACTCAATAGTATCTTGGAAAGCGTTCTGGACAAAGCGTTGCAGCATTATAATGGTGGACAAATTAACAAGCCTTCAGGAAGAAAGACTGGGGTGTAATTCTGTGTACTAATGATCTCTCTTCCCCTTTCCTCCTCTCATTCACATACATGTGTGCACGTAAACACCCTCCCTGCTCCACAGTCATGTGCACTCACTTTCTCTCGCTCCCTCTCCCTTTCTCAACACACACACACACACGCAAAGTTGACTGAGTTAAGCTTATACAAATGAGCTAGCAATCCCAAGGTGGATTCTTTTGGGTCAGTTGAACTGCATGGTTCGTATCTGCCTTTCCTATCCTGCCACCCCTTAGCTATGTTGGGACATATATTTTTTTCCCCAAAATTCTCAGCTATGGTAATTGGGAAGATCAAATCCCAACTTGTTTGGAAGACATGGAGCCGAAGAAGGCCGATAACTAACGTTGATGAAAAAGCAGCAGGGAAGAAATATTCTAAATATATTGAATTTGATTTTAATTCTCCTCTGGCCAATTGGTTAGTTTCTTATTTGATCTTTTAAAAGCCCTAGTCCCCCCCCCCCTCCCAAAAAAAGCATGACATTGCTCAAAAATAGTATAGATCAGACTTAGGATCGGCATTTCTACTCTGCAGTTATAAGCAGAATGTAGCATTTTTGTGGAGGAATTCAAGTTTACGTTTCATTTCCATTGGGAAACCATAGACCGGGGGTTCCCAACTGGGAGTGCTTGCACCCCCTGGGCGTGCGAGGGGATATTCCAGGGGGTGTGAAAACTTGGGTTATAGTGTATTTGCATAACCAGGTATTACTTTTGTAAGGGGTACGAGAATATATCAGAAGCGTTCTAGGGGGGCGGGGTATAGAAAAGGTTGGGAACTGCTGCCATAGAGGATCAAGGAAAAAGGATTCTGTTAGTGATAGTTGGCAGGCGTTGTTAGAAGAATATTGCTCAATCCCTGCAAATTTCTATCCATTCAGAACTTAGTATTTCAGCAAATAGATTGTTAGGGTTTTTTTTTTTTTTAAAAAAAAATGCAAGATAGCTCTCACAGGCATCATGATTCCCTACTTAGGCATGGAACCTGGGACCTTTTTATTTACTGCAGTTTGAATTCTTCTGAAGGAAAGCAAGAAAGGAGAAGGAGGTTTTGGAGAAACAGAAAGTTAAGATAACGCAGATAGTTGACCGTAAGTTATTGTTAGATGTGAACCGAAGAGATGTCTTAAAAACAAAAGAAAAGACAAGTCCCTGCGGTCACCAGAAGTTAATAAAAATTGAGTGCAAAAGAACCCGTGCCGTTTCTATTTATTAACTGACTGGAGAGAATTCTTAAGCTAACGAGAGTCTTAAGATATGAGTTTTGGGATGCACCATGGGGAGAAAATTTCGGATTTCATTTATATTGCATTTATCAGATCTTGTTAGCTCCCTAACGTTACAACCAGCCAATCCTGCACTATCAACCTTTCCACTGTAGGGAAGGGTATGTTCCAATAAATTTTGCAGTACCTCAGTCAGGTGTTCTTTTCCCTCTAAAAAGGAGTGCAAGAAAATCCATGAATCTCACCAAACTGGTATTTCTCCAAAGTAAATAATATATGGATATATCAGTGATTCATCAACAAAAGGTATAAATAAGCTGCAGGTAATAGTATCCACTGCCAAACCTTGCCTAAATAATGTTCTAAAATTTCTATAGCTCAAAACAACAGCCAGCATGTGATTTTTAAGTTTCTAGTCCCTAGTGTGGGTCTTAAGCACCAGTTTCACAGTTAGCTTTAATATGTTTTGGGGGGGGGAGGAAGAAAAAGTAGAGATAGTCTCATAGGTGCTTTTTTTTTTTAACTGAAGATTTAAAAAGGAGCCCAGGTAAAATCCAGTTTCAGGTCTAGCACTTATTTTCACTCTTTTGCACTTAGGCATGGATGCTACCTTCCTTCAGTGTGACCACCTCTTAGAGATAGAAAAAAAAATTTTTTTTCTTTCACTTTTTTCTTTTCCTTCATCGCATCACCTTTTTCCTTTTCCTGACATAAAAGCACCAGTGAAATATGCATACTAGGTTATTCATTTGGTTTTTATTTCGTTTTTCTCCTTATGGAATCATGGGTAGTTTCATTGCAACTCATTTCTTTCTGTTTGTTTCGTATAGGGCTGATAGTGCAGGATCATTCAGACCCCCTGTTCAGTTCATATGCCAATAAATCTCACTATCTACTGAATGAATCAAATCGTGCTGAGTTGATGAAATTACCTATGATTCCTCCTTCTTCGTCAGCTTCCAAAAAGAAATGTGAGAAAGGTAACCAAAATAGCTTCTTTCTTTCTCTCTGTCTCTGTCTCTCTCTCTTTATTTTTCTTTCACCTTTCTTGCTTTTCCTTTCTTTTGGTTTGCTTTTTTTTTATTAAATAAAAAAACAACTAAATCAAAGCTTTGTATGCTCATCTAGCACTTCCTCGTTGCACTTTATTAAACTTCACTCATTGCTTATTTTGAACGTGTATTCATGTTGGCCGAAATCTTCCAAAGGGGCTTAAAATAATTACTGAATTCCACTCAAGCACTGACTTGTGCATGATTAGCCAATCCAGCAGACTTTCATAAATCCTGAGGCAAAACTATATATCTGTAGGGATTCTTTCTCATAGTTTAGATCTATCAGGTCTGTTAACCACACTAAAGGAGCTTTTGTCCATTTGGGTCTTACTCAGATTCTTTACAGCTAAGAGTAGACTGCTTGGAACTTCCAGATGTGTGAATCAGTGACCCCAGACTAATTGTGCAGCCAGTTTATAGCTAGCTGTTGACTGGATAGCTTTCTCATTTACCAATCGGCTTTCTTCGCAGAAGGAAGGTTGACTTTAGGTCCTGCAGTATGTAACATATTCTGCCTCTTCTAGGTATAAACGGCCTTTAAACGCTGAATTGTAGGAGTCTCCAAACTTAACCACTTATGGACTTCAACTCCCAAAATTTCCCAGCTAGCCATGCTGGCTGGAAAACTCTGGGAGATGAAATCCATAAGTTTTAAAATGGTCAAGTTTGGAGACCTCTGCTTTACTGTACTTTAAATAGCTGGATTGCTTTTAGCTGGTAATTACAGCCTCCTACATTTTCATCTAATAGAATAGCAGACATAAACTATTTCCCCTCTTCCATCACTCCCAGGAAGCACACTTCCTACAGGAGTATTCCTAAATCGCTTATTTACCCTACTTATTTTTGTTTCTGTGTCCCTCAGTTGCCGACGGCTCTGAGCATCTTAAAACGGATCAATAAACTTAGGGCTAAAGTAAATGAAAACAAGCAAGCCAAATAATCACAATTACATAGAGCTGAGTAACTGCACCATCACCCAGCGATAGAATAATGTCTGAAGGGCCTTTTTTTTTTTAGAACTCTTTGGAAGCCTTTATATAATGCTTTAATTACCGAGTGATCACTATTAATAGGAAGAAGGCTTAAATAAATCTGGTCCCACAGTGTCATTGACTAATACTATAGAACTGTGTGTGTGAGGGATTGACTGATACTTATTGCAAGTCTTCATCTTTTAATCTGTACAAGTTTACAGTTGGGAAGGGGAGGCCCAATGTTTTAGTAATAAGCTATCTGATTCTGGCCAACATTAGGGTTTCTTTTTCACAAATTGATCACACACAACAGGATAGCATAGTTTTGGAACTGCTTGGACATGTTCTATGTATGTAAAACCTATAGATAGTGGGAGTGTGCTTCTTTTATCCATTTGACGTCTTCGTCTTCTCTGCCACTTAATGCAAGTAGATAGTAGGCATAAAATGACATCCCCTGTGAAAATGGGTGGTGGTCCTGCTCCTGTAGCTCCCTGTTGACTGCCTACACTCGGAGCCTTGACCAAATCAAGGGTTTTTCAGTCTGCCAAGTTTGGGAAGATTTTATTGACTCTCGAATGTTTTATAAAGCATGTGACTTATCATGCTGGCATATTTAGAAGAGTCTCTCAGCAAGAATTATTTTGAGCCCTCTTTCATAGTTGCAGAAAATCTTACTGAAGTATTGTCAAAGCCAAGTTTCCTTGCTTAGCATTGAAAGTTTGTGTGGTTTTGTTTGTTTTGCTTGGTTTTCATATCTTTTTGGCATTCTGCTGTTTGGGTACTGTTTCAATGACCAGGGCTGTATTTCCTCTGAAATAACTTCTATACTTTTTAAAAATTGATTTTGGAGTTTTGGAACGATAACGGCGATCCGAACATTTTGACTTTTTGTTGCATTTCATGGCAGAGGAAATATAGTAATGATTTGGTTGTTTTAAGAAACCTGTGAAGCTTTATAACAATCGGTGCAAAGTACAGATTTTAAAGTCTATAGGTGGACAAAATTTTCTGACAGATTTGCGGAAAATAATTAAATTACTCTGACACTTTTTAAAAAAAACGGTTAAATGCTGCCTTCTAAATTATTGGGAGGGTTCCCTTCAAGTGTTAAATGCTCTACATTTTTAGATCAAATGAAGTTAAAGATGCCTGTGATTGACTGAAAGAAAATAGCTCCATTTCTTAGTTTTCAACCTTTTAACAAAAATTCCCTTCTTGCTTCAAAAGTTATGTGAACTTGGCACAGAAGTAAAATACCTGATCTCTCAACTGTGGTTTGTTTACAATACTGGTTTGAAGATCACCATGCTTAATGTTCAAATTGATGCAGATACACCAGCATATACTATGTTCAGATCTGGAAAAAACAAAAACAAAAAAAGGACTATTGTATATGCCAGGAAGGAAATAACATAACATCATAGTTTAAAAGATTGGTAATGCTTTTAATCAGTTCAGGCTCTATAGATAATAATAATATTATAATAATGCTTCATTTTGAAGGGACAAGAGTAATTTGGAATTCTAAAATTTTTGAATTTGTTTTGCTAATTTTTTAAAACAGAACAATACTGATCAACCTATAGGCTGATTTTTACATGCACTAACTGATTGCTAAGGGATCAGGTCACGACAATGCAGATTTAAAACAGAATTTATGTCTAGACTATTGGGGGGAAATCAACTCCCTGAACAGTTTATCACATTTAAATACCAGCATTTTGAAAAGATGTGTCCATGTAACTGTATAATCCAAACAAAACAAAACAGAATGAGATCTATCCATTGAAGTTCTTTGTCTAGGAAGTTGGTTTGACTGATTTTACGCCAACAAAGTAAGTGCTTTAAATCCAGCATTGTAATTCTGACCCGATCCTTTAATTCAGCTATTCTTATTTATACGACATGGCAAATCCCGTGCACAATGCATTTAAAAAAAAAAAAATCTGCAGAGCTGTGTGCCCTACTTGTTTCCTTTAACTATAAAGTGAGCACTGTTGTTGCTTTAAAGGTGGGAAGCTGTTGTGCTGTGAATCTTGTCCCGCATCCTTCCACCCGGAATGTCTTAACATAGAGATGCCAGATGGCTCCTGGAACTGCAACGATTGCAAAGCTGGCAAAAAGTTGCGATACAAGCAGATTGTTTGGGTCAAGCTTGGAAATTACAGGTACCTTTAAAGCCAACAAACAATAGTTTGTTGTCCTCAGACCCATATTTTAACTCTGGATCCTTGATTTCGGAAACCTTGCCTTTAGACTTGTTTATTTAGTTTTCAAAGGTTCACTTTTGATCTTAATTTCGATCATTTAACTTTTATACCCTATAAACCAGGGGTAGGCAACCTTGGCTCTTTTATGACTCGTGGACGTCAACTCCCAGAATTCCTGAGCCGGCTATGCTGAGGGGAAAGAGAGAGGTTTCCAAGTTGAGCCATGCTGGCTCAGGAATTCTGGGAGTTGAAGCCCACGAGTCATGAAGGGGCCAAAGTTTCCCTCATGCTGGCTCAGGAATTCTGGGAGTTGAAGTCCACGAGTCATAAAAGAGCCAAGGTTACCTACCCCTGGTCTAAACGGTGCTACTGAATGTAAAGTCTTTGACGTTCATATAAGCAAAAATGAAAATTGTGTTGAACGCTGTTTTAGATATTTTTTTTATTAGAATATGTCTTTTTGTGAACGTTTTTTGAATTGGTTTTCCTCCTCCATTTTCCTTTGTAAAGCAAAGTTATAAATATAACCCCTTTTTTTAAAATCTTTACGAACCTCTTTCAGATTTGCCCTCTTTTTCAGGATTGTCCTTTATTTCTTTTCCCAGAAAACATGGTCAACAGGTAGTCCTTGTCTTATGACCACAACAGGGACTAGAATTTCCATTGCTAAGCAAGGTGGTTAGTTAGCAGATAACCTCTTTTTTATTTTTTAACAATTTTTTTATTGATTTTCTGTTATTACATTTGATTAGTGCTTAATGAGCATCGTGTTGATGTTCTGGGCATTGAAGTCCACAAGTCATCAAAGGGCCAAGTTTGAAGATCCCTGCCATAGATGCTTCATGTAACTAAGTAGGCTGAGGGGAGTCTGTGACAATGTGCCACAGCCAACTCACTGCAGCACAACTCACCGTAGCCAAGTTGCTGTGGGACAACTCGCTGTAGGACAAGAGTTACACCAATACCAAAGAAAGGGTGGCATAGAAGCATTAAAGTAAGCGTGCAGAAAGAGGGACAAAGCAAAACGCAAATGACAAACATGAAAATAATTTCTTACATTACTTTAAATAATTAAATTGAATGGTTGAAGTTGTCCCATGATGAGTTGTCCCACTGTGAATTGGCGGTGGTGAGTTGTCTCATTCCTGGCCGAGGGGTGTGTAACTTCTGAGTTTCTTGAGGGTCGTTCGCTTCTTTTAACTCCTTAGTAAAACTGAGCAATAATCTTCTGTTTGTATGTACAGAGGGCACTTATTTTAGGTCCCATCATTTGAATGAGGACATCAGTAGGGCTAGCTTGACTCAGAGTTTCATGTGTTCATACATTCAGATTGATAACTTGTGGGGGGAATAATTGTGTAAGACCATATTGAAGTAAAGTCATCTATGGGAATTGGCTTGAGGACTGAAAGCTAGACCAACCGCTGTCTTTACCGATTGTTCTATCCTTCTATCCATCCCTCGTTCTCCTAGGTGGTGGCCAGCTGAGATATGCAATCCCAGATCTGTTCCTCTCAACATCCAGGGCCTCAAACATGATGTTGGGGATTTCCCAGTATTTTTCTTTGGTTCACATGACTACTACTGGGTGCATCAGGGGAGAGTATTCCCCTACGTTGAAGGAGATAAGAGCTTTGCCGAAGGGCAAACTAATATTAACAAGACTTTCAAAAAAGGTAAATTTAAATGATTTCTAGTGACTTCATGACTAAGGCTCCACATTTTTTGGGTCTCCCATCGTCCTGAATAGGGAAATGGTGTCTTGAAATTTAAGATACCCTTTAGTCAATTAAACTCCATTTCATTCCATTTAAAATGCTTCTATTCTGCACATTGGACTGTACATAATATTATTTCTGCAAGGATATTATTATTATTTATTATTATTATTATTATTATTATTATTATTATTATTATTATTAGACTCTGTCAATGTAGTCTTACAATAGCACTGATGATGTTACCTAGTTTGGTTAATGAAAGGTCTGCAAGCAAACAGCCAAGCTCAGAGAGCACCAAGGACCCCTTCAGTTTTACAATAAAGTAGAATTAGTTCATTTTGTTGTGTTTCCTGTCTGCTGTGCATGGAAGGACTCACATCAATCTTGCAAGCCCAAAGGCAGAAATTTCCCACCTCCGACTTGGCCCATTAGGGTAGGTCTTCCCTAAATTCTCCTGCTGACCATTAAGAGGTTGCAGGCTGCTGCCTCTCTTATCTGATTGTTTCCTAGGTGGCATTTCCCCCTGTCTTCAATCCATGTCATCCACACATTTCGTCACAAATGTGTCACTAAACTCATTGCTTTTAATTAGAGGCCAGGCCTGGACACTACATAATTGTTTAAATGAGCTTTGGTCTACTCGCAGATCTTTGAATAGTTGCTAATGCCAGCTTTTTTTTTCTGCTTTGGGAAAAAACTCATACAGCACTTGAAGAAGCAGCAAAACGCTTCCAGGAACTTAAAGCACAAAGAGAAAGTAAAGAAGCACTTGAGATTGAGAGGAATTCCCGAAAACCACCTCCCTATAAACACATAAAAGTGAGTCCCTTGTATTGTTCAGCTGTGTGCGTGTATGTGTGCAAGGCGCATAGGTGGATTTTTAGTGTGTTCACTTCTTAAATGTGAGAGCATTTTATTTTTCAATATGCATAGATGGAATTTTAGCTTGTTGGTTTGGAAACTTCTGGATCGGCTTTGAGCTTTCTTTGGCTCATCTTACCACAGAATCCTCTACTCTCATAAAAACCTTTGATTCTGCTTACAAAAGTTGTCATCCAAAGGTAAATGTGAGGGGTCCTTGGTGCTCTCTGAGCTTGGCTGTTTTCTTGCAGTCGTTTCATTACCCAAAGTAGGTAACATCATCAGGGCTAGTGATTAGAGCTGGTAACTAAACGTCTGCAAGAAAACAAGCAAGCTCAGAGAGCACCAAGGACATCCCCCCCATGTCAACCCTGAGCTACAAATATTCTCATTAAAGGTAAATATAGAATATTAATTTGATGGCTGGGCTCCGCAAAAGAAGCTTCACAGGCATATAAGAAGACATCTGATATATCACTTGGAATATTCTAACCAAAAGCAGTGTTCTGGCCAAAATATTTTCCATTATAAGCAGCAAAAGAGATTCACCTTGAAACATTTTGGGCGTAAAGAGCAGATGCTTTATTATCGAGATCTGGTCTGCGTCCAAAATGAAAAACATTGCTTTAATATTGCTTTAATTCCTTAAGCACTATCTGCCTTCCAGAAAAAAGTACAAACAGAGCTTTTCCAGAGAGCATTTTGTCTTGAGGCCACATATTGTGTTTAGGTTTTTAGTTGCATTTATGTTGTTACTGACAAGTGGTCCTCAACTTACAACCAGAACGGAAGCCAACATTTCTGTTGATAAGTGAGACCGTTGTTAAGTGAATCACTGCAGGTTTTTTTCAACCTTTCTTCCCATGATTGTTACGTGAATCACTGCAGTTCTTAAATTAGTAACACGGTTGTTAAGTGCCTAGGCCAGGGGTAGGCAACCTTGGCTCTTTTATGACTCGTGGACTTCAACTCCCAGAATTCCTGAGCCAGCATGGCTCAGCTTGGAAACCTCTCCCTTTCCGCTCAGTGTGGCTGGCTCAGGAATTCTGGGAGTTGAACTCCACGAGTCATAAAAGAGCTAAGGTTGCCTACCCCTGAGCTAGGCCATTGACTTTGCTTGTCAGAAGATCGCAAAAGGGAATCGCATGACTTTGGGACACTGCGACCGTCATAAATATGAGTTGCCAAGCATCTGGATTTTGATCACATGACCCTGGGGGGGGGATGCTGCCACAGTGAAAGTCTGAAAAACGGTCATAAGTCATTTTTTTTCCAGTTCTGTTGTAAGTTTGAACGGTCACCAAACGAACTGTTGTAAGTCAAGGACTACCTATATTGCTACTCTGCTGGCTTCTTTTTACGAGCTGTTGAGAGTCTTTATAATTATGGTGGAATGTCATGTTGATTGGTTGACTAATAAATAAACAAGCCATGATGTTTCTCAGCGAAGAGTTTGAGTCGGGCTTCCATCACGGAACGATATGTGATGCCGCTACATCTGTGAACTGATGCTCTGCCTGTGCCCTTTATTCTGTACCCCGCAGTCCAATAAAGTGGTAGGAAAAGTCCAGATCCAAGTTGCGGACTTGTCCGAAATCCCTCGGTGTAACTGTAAGCCAACGGACGAGAACCCTTGTGGCCTGGAGTCAGAGTGCTTAAATCGAATGCTGCAGTATGAATGTCATCCTCACGTTTGCCCTGCGGGAGAGCGCTGCCAGAATCAGTGTTTTACCAAAAGACTCTACCCGGAAGCAGAAATTATAAAAACTGATAGACGCGGCTGGGGCCTGCGGACCAAACGGAACATTAAAAAGGTAGTCGGACACTTGCTTGGTTTTTCAATGGGTTACCTATTCCTTTTATTCTTTAAAAATCAAACGAAGGGAGGAAACAAACAAACAAACAAAAAACAAAGCCAGAATGAAAGGGAAAAAATGCTGCCTTATGCCACTTCTCATGTTCTACATCAGTGGTTCTCAACCTGTGGGTCGGGACCCCATTTGGGGTCGAACGACCATTTCACGGGGGTCGCCAAACAATGCAGTCCACCATTTTTTCCCCCTTTTCCTTAGCTGTGCTACTCCCTTTTATTCTATTGGCCTTTGAAAGCCAAGAGAATAGACTCTCTTGAATAGAGTCTAATTCTATTGGCTTTCAAAAGCCAATAGGAATTGTCCAGGCTGTCTCTGCCCTGCTGAGCCCGCCAAAAGTCCCATTCTGCAAACGGTGCTGCACCAGTTGAGTAGTCCTCGACTTACGACCGGTTGAGTAGTCCTCAACTTACGACCGGTTGGGGATCACGGCATTAAAAAGGTTGAGAACCACTGTTCTACATGAAACAATAGAAACACACACAGCTAAGCATCACTTGCAGAATTTAGCTGGATTCTTAGAATCTGGAATTCATTTCTTATTAACTTAAATGCAATTAATTCTTTGTGTGGCTTTACGACAATGACAACAATATATTAGGTTAGTCATTAAAGTAAAAAAAATATACAAGACTGAAAAAAACCTGAACGTATATGTACACTTTCATTTTTTTCCCCTATATTCTACTAAGGCGGTTACTTATTTCACAAAAAATATTATCGTTAAAAGCCAGTTAAGCAAACCCACAAAAGATGCTTGAACTATCAACGCAAAATGAAATCTTATGAAATTTCTTCTGCCTTCTAATGTTAAGGCTGATGAATAAGCGAGACAGAGGAATCCCAACCATTTCATTTCTTAATGTCTGCATATGCTTTTAACTACTTAAAATATTTCCACGACAAAATTTAGGTAATTTGGATTCTGGAAAGAAGCGATTGCTTACCAATTCATGCACCGTCTTAGTTTCCAAATTAGTTTTCCTCACCATTTCTTTGTTACCTAATTGCATATTTTTACTATTATTGTATATTTCCTATTTTCTTTGGTCCGAGGGTCAGAGGAAAGCTGTAATATTGGGGAGGGAACTTCAGCTCCTGTCCATTCAAGGTTTTAATACAAGTTCTTTCAAATTTGGGGGTCCCAATGTCTGAAAAAGAGCAATTGAGAGGTTGGTGAGAATATACAGTATATTAGAAAGAAGCCAGCATTAGTTGGATTCTACATTTTCTACCTTGGGATTCCACAAATTTGCATCTTCTAGCTTGCAACGTTTTCTCGAACTGGTTGCTAATTTACCCAGCCCAGAACTCCATAGAATAATTCTCTTACCATTAGTTTCATTGGGAGCAAATATATTACAGTAGAACGAGGCATAACATCTTGCTTCCTTCTTGGCAAAGACCTCCTTGGGCTTGAGATAATCTCAGAAGCCTTTGCTATCAGAACCTTTCATGCCGATAAAGAAAATTGCTTTGTGAAGCTGTAAACGCTTTACCATGTTGGCTGTTTTCTAGCAAGAGTTTCTTTTCAATGTCTGTGCTATGTAGTATTAGTATTTCTCAACTTGGGCCACTTTAAGATGGGTGGACTTCAATTCCCAGAATTCCCTAGTTTTCGCTAGCTGGAGAATTCTGGGAGTTGACGTCCATACGCCTCTTAATGTGGCCCAGGTTGAGAAACACCGCTCTGTAGTATAATGCTCCCATTTATAAGTCCGTTTCTCTTTTGACTTTTTTTTTTTTAGGGTGAATTTGTGAATGAATATGTTGGTGAATTAATTGACGAGGAAGAATGCCGATTGCGAATTAAGCGTGCCCATGAGAACAACGTGACCAATTTTTATATGTTAACTGTTACAAAGGTAAAAGGATACCCTCTGTGCATGCGTGCATGTGTGTGCGTCGGTGCATGCTTGTATGTCATCCCAGCATCAAAGGTGTTTTACGGTTTTGACACCTGTCAAAATGACAGTCTGCATGTAAAATCCACCAGGAAAACTCGAGATTCCTTGCCAGCCAGACAAAACAAGAGTTTTTTACTCTCCCAAGTTCAGCAGATAATTTTGGCCTGCCAATTTTTGCGATTGTGGCTGCAATGCTTGAAGTTGAATTTCTGCCAAGCCTGACTATCTGCTCCTGTAACAATGCTACCTTTGCAGCGGAAGCGTCAGCGTCGACATCCCATTGCAATAGTTTAAACCAGGAGTCCCCAACTTTGTCAACTTTTAAGAGTTGTGTAATTCCCAGATGGCTGGGGAATTCTGGGAGTTGAAGTCCACAGGTCTTAAAGTTGCCACGGTTGGGGATCCCTGGTTTAAACCATTCATTCTTTAATAGGTGTTGTGTTCAATTGCTGCATCCTTTCTCTTATTCAAGGACCGCATAATAGATGCTGGACCAAAGGGCAACTATTCTCGCTTCATGAACCACAGCTGCAACCCCAACTGTGAAACCCAGAAGTGGACAGTCAACGGAGACGTCCGGGTGGGACTCTTTGCTCTGGGTGACATTGCTGCAGGTAAATGCTCTTCGGGAACGTTCCCGTTGCCTTTGAAAGTGAGTGGGGATATCTTGACCTCTTTGTTGCCTTCTTCTTCTCCTCAAGAGTCCTTTGATTTGTCCATGGAGATTCTCAGTCATCCAGGTCATCGTTGCCCCAAAAGTGCTTTTTCAAAAAACAACTGGATTTTATTTTATTTTATTTTATTTTCCCCTTTCTTTCCTTCCTTCCTTCCTTCCTTCCTTCCTTCCTTCCTTCCTTTCTTTCTTTCTTTTTTTGAAGACCTTCCGCTTCAGAGCTGAAGAAGCTTCTTGGATGAGAAACAAAACATCTTCAAGGCAAGGGGGCGGAAAAAAAAAGTCCAGTTGCCTTTTGAAAAAGCACTTTTGGGACTGCCCTTTATTTTGTATAACTCCCATAATACTACCCTCAATCTCTGGATTGTGTCCTACCTCCTCCTCCTCCTCCTCCTCCTCCTCCTGCCCAAGAATGCAGGCAGCATGTGACCTAAATGTCGTTTCTAGGCCTGGTGCTCCTGGATTCCTTCCAGTTCTTTTTCCTCAATTTGACCTGGATAGGGATATTCTCTTAAAGTCTTTTGCTTTCAGGTTTTACGCTGCCTCTTTGTTCTTTCTGTTGTTGTGGAGGTGGTGGTGGTTCATTCACAGCCTCTTGATAAACACTTTGAAAAACATCTCTGTGTGTAGTTTAAGCCTTTGTCCTTTTGTCCACACTGACTCTGCTCCTGGGACTGGATGGAAAAATGAACTCTTTCCCAGGACAAATAAAGCAAATGAGAAAAGCTCGTACTTGATGAAAGAGAAAGCAAAAAAACATACTATGCTGTAATTGGGTGAGAAAGGGGCCTTGGAGGTCTTCTAGCGTGCAACCCTGTACTCAAAGACTCAATTCAGTGACCTCAAAATGGAAAACTCTTGAGGCGATAAGAAGGTTCAGTTAGCAATGTCCTTATGTATGGAGAGATCTTGATCTCTAGCAGCTTTGGTCAGATCCAAGAGAGCCCAAATTTCCTTCCTCTGGAAGAAGTATGCTTGTTTATGCAAGCAAAGCCAAATTGAAATGAATAGTCCAATTGAAAGATGATAGTTGCCAGCTTTTATTGCTCAAAAAATTTTCCAGTTTAGAAATGCTGACGGATTTCAACTATGACCTCTCCCTATAGGATTACATCTGGATATTATGGCTTGTCGCACAGCCAGCCAGATGTTTAGATTGGATTTGGGATGGGAAAACCAGAGGAAGAGATGCTAAAAAGGAGAAATAAAGGAGAGATTCCTTATTAATTCTGCTAGCCACTGGGTCATTTTGATAAGAACGAGATTTTTCGCTGGCAATGAAGATGGCCATCACATTTTTAATACTTTTTAATACTTTAATGAAGCTCTTTTCTGAAGCAAAAAACGAAAAGTATCTCTAACGCACTTTGCTAAGTATTAAACTAATTCTCTTGAATCTACAGGGATGGAGTTAACGTTTAACTATAATTTGGATTGTCTGGGCAATGGCAGAACCGAGTGCCACTGTGGAGCAGAAAATTGCAGTGGATTCCTGGGAGTGAGGCCAAAGGTTAGTCACACAAGTGGGGAAAGCCCTCCAGGGCAAAAACCACAGATAGATGGAATATCAAAATACAGGGGCATGTTCTCTCTCTGCTTGTGCTCACCAGTCCAAATCAGGTCTCTTTCATCACAGATAGTCCTCAAACCTATGACAGTTTGTTTAGTGACCATTCGAAGTTACAGTAGCACTGAACAAAGTGACCTGGGATCATTTTTCAGGCTTTCGACCATTGCAGCATCCCCAGGGTCACGGGAACAAAATTACTGGCTCCTATTTATGACGGTCGCAGTGTCCCTGAGTCACAGCATCACCTTTCGCGTCCCTCTGACGAGCAAAGTCAATGGGGAAGCCAGATTGACTTAACAACCGTGGCAGGAAAACGTTGCAAAAGGAGGCCACTTGACCCCCTTTCTCGCTTAGCGCCAGAAATCTGGGGCTGAATTGAGGTCATGAGTTGAGGACTCTCTGTATAGAATCTCCATCTTCATTTAGGGCAGTGGTGGCGAACCTATGGCACGCGTGCCAGAGGTGGCACGCAGAGCCCTCTCTGTGGGCACGCGCCATCGCCCCAGCACACGTGGTCTCTAAAAGTTTGCCATCACTGGCCTAAGGCCAGCCAGCCTGGAGCCACCATTGGGGAGCCCACCATCCCACCCACCAGAGACCCCCTGGATCTCCCCCAACCCTGCCCGGCTCTCACAGGTGTCCCTCCCCTAAGCAACATCAAGGTGGCCACGCCCATCCCAGCCAGGCCCACCCAATCTGCCATGACTACTGCAGCCACACCCATCCAGTGGCCATGCCCACCCAGTCTGCCAAGCCCACTGTAGCTGCACCCGCCGGGTGTGCCACACCCACCCAGCACCTGGTGATACATAAGTGGGTTTTGGGTTGCAGTTTGGGCACTCAGTCTCTAAAAGGTTTGCCATCACTGATTTAGGGCTTGACGGCGACTGTTGAGTGTTCATCTGAACTCAACATTTTCTTGGCTGGAAGTGTTTGCTTTCAGACATCAGGCTTTTAGGGGGTAAAGGGAATGGCCTCGAAACTGGAGGAAAAGCCACTAGCAAGGCAGTGTCCAGTTAAGAGGGGCCTGAGTCCATTCCAAGAAATAAATTGGAGAGAACATTCAGACCGCCTACTTCAAATGGAGACAATAATGGGAAAGAAAAAGGAAGCACCTTCAGATTTGCAAGACTGTTTCACTACAAATCTGGGGCAGGGAACTACAGCCCCTTTATGATCTGTGGACTTCCACTCCCAGAATTCCTGAGCCAGCATAAGAATTCTGGGAGCAGAAGTCCACAGATCATAAAGGGGCCGTAGTTCCCCACCCCTGTATAGATGACACAATTAAAGTAGTTCTGTCCTACCTGGCATTGGTTTCTTAGCCCGGCCTACTCTGTAGGGCTGACTTAAGAGAGTTGCGACTCTTTTTTTTTTTAATTGTCCTTTATTAATATTCTTCTTGGCTTTTCCCTCTGCCTGTTCAGACGGCGTGCGCGACGGCAAATGAAGAGAAGGCAAAGAACGCAAAGCTGAAACAGAAGAAACGGAAGATAAAAATGGAGCAGAAGCAGATGCACGAAGATAATTGCTTTCAGTGTGGAGATGGGGGTGAACTCGTCATGTGTGACAAAAAAGACTGTCCCAAAGCATATCACCTCCTCTGCCTTAATTTGACACAGCCACCCTTTGGTAGGTGCCTGCAATTTTGTGGCAGCTGTAAATAGGCCTTTTTTTCCCCTTTTGGACACAAATAAATAAATATGTATGTATGTATGTATGTATGTATATATATATAAATATGACTCTTGGGTATGTTCATGTTAAAATCAATAAATAGTCGATCACCAAGAGAATAAAAATATAAAAGATTTTATTTACTGAACCTAGCATATATATATATATATGCAAAAAATCATCTGGCTGTTTAAACAAGGAGCCGTGGTAGCGCAGTAGCTAATATTGCAGGCTAACTCACTGTCCACTGCCAGCAGTTCGATTCTCACCAGCTCAGCCTTCCATCCTTCTGAGGTCAGTAAAATGAGGACCCAGATTGTTTGGGGGCAATATGCTGACTCTGTAAACCGCTGAGAGAGGGCTGTAAATGGGAAGTGGTATATAAGTCTAAATGCTTATTGCTATTGCTGCTCTGTTTCATTAGTCTAGTTGTGACGAAGTTAATTAGGGAAGAGCTGGATATCTCTAGGAAGCCAACATAACAGTCACAAAACAGAGCAGCAGAGTTGATGTCCACTTCCAAGATACTTAAGCTCAATTTCCACAGTCAAGTCAGTTTGTGAGCATTCTGCGATCACAAAGGAATTTGGGATGTTTGCAGTGGTGGGATTCAGCCGGTTCACACCACTTCGGCAGAACCGGTAGCTAGTTTTTTGTTGCCCAGGCCCAGAATGGACTTCCGGAAGCGGCATCCACACAGAGAGCCAGCTGTTCACATATTTGAATCCCACCACTGGATGTTTGGTGTTTTCTTGCTTCCCCTCCGTTTTTACTTCTTCCCGTGAATCCTTTAGCAAATCCTGAAATGACTCTTTTAAGTCGACCTTTCCATAGAATTGGCTCTGCCAACATTTTTGAGGCTTCAAAGTACAAGACCAGGATAGTTCTCTGTCAAGGTTAGGAGAGTCAGTGGATAGCAGCTGGGCTACTGGACTTTATCTTGCTTTCTATTTACCTTTCATTTATTTGGTTGGTAAGATTTTTTTTTTTAGCACATCTGAGAAGGTAATATTTTTGCCCTCTTAATTCCTATAATCTTCATCAAGCTGAGATTGCAGTAGATCTCTCTCACATTATTTGAATAAAGATTCTTTAAGGTAAACAAATGTCTGGACGGTCTTTGAAGAGTAACGTCTGTCGGAACCATGACCGTAGTCTAGTTGGCTGTTTTCTTCCTGCGCCCGTGTAGATACATATTTGATCTCTCTTGTTTTTTTTCTTCCTCAGGGAAGTGGGAATGCCCATGGCACCAGTGTGCCATCTGTGGCAACCCGGCGACTTCGTTTTGCGAGTTCTGCCCTCACTCTTACTGCAAAGATCACGAAAAGGGAGCCCTGGTGTCCTCGGCCTTGGACGGACGCCTCTGCTGCTCTGAACACAACCCCAAAGCTCCTGTGGCTCCGGAGTATTGGGGCAAGATCAAGCGTCGACTGGAACAGCAAAATCCGGAGGAAGCATCGAAGGAGTGAAGAAGCCCTTTCACACCCACCAAAAAAAAAACAACAACAACAACAACCGCAACCCCAAATTTGTTCCCGTTCAGGGTGACAAATCCTTGTGAATCTAGATACAGTGCCAGGGGAAGCCTCCTCAGTCTTTAGAGCTGCCTCTATGGGACTCAATTGGGATCGCTGGATCTTGGAAGGCAGTTAAGGAGCCTGTGCATCTGATTAGATCCATTTGCCCTTGTGTGCGTCTTTCGGGCTCTGGAAGATCAGAAAGAAGCATCTTGGCAACACAATTTTGTTAGAAGAGGGTTAGGGTTTGCAGAAAAGGACCTTGGATTTAAGTCTGTTCTCTGCGTGTGGAAAAAAAAAAAAGAAACATAGCGAAAATATTTATTTATTTAATTTTTAATGGACTTTTTGGAGGATTTCTGGTTCTAATACAATCAGTGGGTCTGAAAAAGAGTAGCAGCACCAGCCTGGTTATCTTATCTCTGTATGTGTCTTTTTTATTATTATTATTATTATTATTTTCCTGTCTGGTTTTACAATTACGGGGGGGGGGGAGAAAAAAAATCCGATAAATCTTATTGGGCAGTTCCAAGTGAGATACTTCCAGTAACTTCATAACGGCAAGAGGTTTTTTTGTTTTGTTTTGTTTTTGAGATGGTGCAATCCCTCTTTCCTTTTTTTTTTTGACTGAATAAACGATAATCATGATACCTTCTCCCACAGAAAAATAAAATTAAAAAAAATTAGGACTCCGTGATTTGGGAAGGGCATTCTTGACGTGATGTGAATTGGTCACTTTGGAAGCATGTACTCCGGCAGCCTCTTGCATATGCGGTATTTGCAGTTCTGCTTTCTTTCTAAAGGGCTTGTGCAGAAGAGTTTGGTAGATTGTGCCTATAAAAATCTGGGTGGGGAAAAAAAAATAAAAGCTGTGAGGAGGCTGGGGAATATTTCTCCTTTGGGCCCGGGAGTCTGGTTTCATTATGCATAGGTCACTTTTCTGTCGCTATTGAATCCGAAGGAGACTTGAGCAGGAAAAGTCTCTGGAAGTGCTTTTACAACAGTGCTGTTGTAATTCTCGCCACGTTATGGGAATCGGCATGGATCACAAGTTGGATGTTCGGGCTCTTCTTTCGCAAGGCCTTCAGTTCTTCTTTTATGAATCTTGTACCATGCAGAATCTGTGCTCTTAACACGGTTTCCACAGTAATAGATGCTGATGAAGATTTATCTTTTTGAATCTGAAGGGCAGACTTTGGCTGCCAGTCGGTGTATTTTATATGGCCAGTTTTGTTCTTATCTCATCTGATTTTGACGTTGGTTATTCAAAGGAATCACGTCATTGGATAGGAAGGGTCTACCTTACAAAGCCATGTGTGTATTTCATAAAGACTAGTTTATTAATCTTTCTAGAAGAGCAGGCACTGAAATTACATAACTTGTTCCCATTGGGTATTCCAAGTGTCTCCTGAAATACTTGTTTTTATTTAAGACGCTTAGTCCAATAATGACTGTATATTGATTTATATGAGCATAACAGATTAGGCAATTCCAGGAAATAGACAGTATTTTATGATGCCAGTGACTCCTTTCTTAGTTTTTTTATTAGTTTTTTTTTATTATTCTTTTTAAAAGCCTAGAGAGGAAAAGCAAATACAGCTTCTATTTTCCTAATCTGCATAGGCGTAAAAATAAGGCAGCACACTACATTCCTTTAAAGCACCTGAGATGTGTCTCAGTTTTCATTCAGTTTGCAAATTCCTTCGCAGATCACTGACTTTGTTTCTTTGTACTGCATAAGCTTCAAAATCATGTGGACTAATTAAATATGAAGCCCTAAAAGAAGATGATGCAGATTTGATAACACTAATGAACATTGAAAGTAATGTTTTGAGAACACTACAATTTATATATGTATATGTAGGTTTAGATTGTAGAAAATTTTTTTATTACATGTTTGATTTTGGGGGGGGGAAGGGGAAATGGGGAAAAAAATAAGGTCATAAGGAAAGAGATTTTTTTCAGAGAGGATTTTATCCTAATCTAGGAATTCTAAATTCAGAATTCTCGTCTTTACTTTCTTTCATACACCCCGTTATTCCTCGACAGACTGGGAATTTCTACAGAGTGCCCAGATTTCGTGGCAGTGCATCTTGAGAGGGCAAATAATAAAATTACTGAACAGATGCCACTGAAGTTAAGATGAAGTTTGGAAATACTGCAACTCCAATCTGTAAACGGCATTAAAGATCAGGCTGTGCGTTGTAGCCCCTTGGACTAGATCATGTCCTCCAAATCATGTTTTCCTTTCTTTTTAGTCCCATTTCCCCTCCTCTTATCTCTCCCTCCTGTACTGTTGTGATTCTTTATCTTTTCATTGTGCTTCAAAGAAACTTGCAAGTCATTTGGTTGGAGAGATCTTTTGTCCTTAATAAGGGAGGATCCAGCATCATGATTATAACTTGCATGTCACCTCAAGTGCAATTCTGCAAGGAAAAGTGGCCAAAAGAGTTGATAAGTAGAAGGGTCATTGGTGGGTGGTCAGTATTCAGAGCAAATCTTCCTTGGGCCACACCTGAATTGGCCCAGTCCTGAGAAGAAGAAGGACACCCCATTGTCATGTCAATTTAAATTATTGTTTCAGATTTTTTTTTTCCATTAATGGATGCAAAAGTAAAGCATCTATTTTATTGGGTGATATTTTTTCTTAGAATAAGAAAATAATAAGATTTCGAACCCATAAAGTTTCTTCATTAAGATGTTTCAAACCTTAGCTAGCTCATCCCCTAGTAGATTTTAAATGTTTATTCATTGTTTAGAATTGAGTCCTTAGCTCAATGTTTCTCAACCTTGACAATTTTAAGGCATGTGGACTTCAATTCTCAGAATTCCACAGCCAGCATTGCTGGCTGTGGAATTCTGGAAGTTGAAGTCCACATGCCTTAAAATTGTCAAGGTTGAGAAACACTGCCTTAGCTCTTGTTTTATTTGTTTATTTTTTTAAAGAAGTAGAATGGGAAAGTTTTCTTTGAAAATGCAGTCCTACCATAATCAATATGACATCCTTAAGAAACAGAAAAAAACAGAGTATGAATAGAGTGGTGGTGGTGGGGAGTTGTGAGCAATGGCAATATTAAAGTTTCCTGGAGTCTCTCCCTCCTTTCTCCCAATTTCTAATTATTCAGAGCACAGAAAAAAAATTATAAACCTAGCACTTGGTTTTGTTTTATCAAATTCTAAACATAGAATTTGGTCTGTTTGCCTCTGCAAAAACAGGGTTGAAGTATTGCTATGAAAGATTGAAGTTGAGCCAAATGAAGGCTGACTTTCTTCTCCGAATATAGGCCCGCAAACAGGCATTTCTTTCCCCTCCCATCCTATTGTGTGTGCTTGACTTCTAAAATGTGCCCCACTCTCTCCATCTTTTCCTAATTACTGTGTAAGGTAGGATGCGAAGAGTTGTTCTTTTCAAACAACTCATACAAATGGGGTAACCACTGCTATGATTATCTTGTACCCACTTATGATAGCATTTAAGTTTCCCTGAGATAACGTGTCCTTGCTCTGCACACCTCTGTGGGACAAACTCATTGAACACAGCGGTACTTCTTGCAGAGTGGACATGGCATAGTATTGTGCTGTGAATTTGGTGGAATGTAATTTCTGAGTGGGCACACACCTAGCACTGTTGTTTTTGTATGCACAAGACATGCTAGGGGTTCCGTAGAGAAGTGGTTCCATTTTTGCTTTGGCCCATAGAGCACGCACTTTAACCAGGAGTGGAAAATTGGCTAGAATACTGCAGTTTTGTGTTCTTGCAATGGGGGGGGGGGAAGATGCTCTAGAACTTGAAATTGCAACCTGTAGAATACAGAAATCTTTTGGCTGTATTGGCATAACTCTGACTCAAGACCGTGGAATGTTTTTGCATTGCTGCCTTGGTTTAAATCTATGCCTCAAGGAAACATGTTTTTGTCTGCAGGCAAATGAAAATATAAATGAAATGAAAACACCTGGCTAGGTGAGCAATTTAAATAAAATTGTTTTTACGCTTAGATTTCAAGCAGGTATACCTGGGGATACACAGGTAGGATAGTAATGCCTCAATATTTTTAGACCGACAGCTGCTTCATCAAACACTCCATGGGTTGCAATTCATCCAAGAAATGGGAAAAAAATCAAGAAACATTTCTGTCATTTTTCTGGTTTGAGCTTTGAGGAATGAAATAAGAAACAAAAGAAAGAATATTCTGGTCTTCTCTTGCAAGCAGCCACCTGCATAGTATTTTTTGACAAATTTTTTTTTCCCCACTTCTTTCCAGACCTCAGTGTGATTTCAGGCTTTACCATGTAAAATCATGAGCCAGTTGTTGTGGTTGATGTCAGAGCTCTGGGCAGCCTCCCCCAATATCAAGTTGTATGTCTAAAGCAAAGTGTTTTTGTTGGTGGTCATGGTGCTTTTCTTTTCCTCCAGGACATACAATGCAGGCATGTACTTCCCTCATTGTGTGTTAGCAGCCCTTAAGGCAGGGGTCTTCAAACTTGGCCCTTTGATGACTTGTGGACTTCCACTCCCAAAATTGCTCAGCCAGGCACTTGTGCCTGGCTGAGCAATTCTGGGAGTGGAAGTCCACAAGTCATCAAAGGGCCAAGTTTGAAGACCCCTGCCTTAAGTGCATATTTGTGTGCTTAAAAATGCCACGTGAGAAACGCTTCTGTAGAAGTTGTAATGAAGATGAAGGGACTCGGATGCATCTCTGGCTTTACGCTTGATGCCCTTCCGCAGACGCCGGTGGCATACAAAAGATGTAATTATTACAATATCATTGCCAATGAACTGAAAACCTGTTGACTGTATATATGGAGATGTTATGGGTAGGGTGGGGGAATGTCCGCCGCTGGTACGAATATAGTCACTTTAACATTTGTATCTTCTGCCTCATTGAATTCAGGGTTTAAAGTACTTGAAACTATTTCCATGCTTATTTTACAGTTTGTGTTTTATTTATTCATTCCCCTGTTGTATTATGAGTCTCATCCCACTTCAACGTAGCGTCTGAAGTAGATTCCCGCTTCTGTTGCATGATACGAATTCAAGGCATATAGGAAATACGGTACTTTTGAAAGTAAGCGCCACTCCTTTTGTTAACGAGGCAGTAGCAGCATTGTGACTTTCCAGTATTTTTTTATATATATAAATTCTAACACTAAATGAGCCTTTCTGCTTTCTCCTCTCCGTGTCAGAGATTTCAGACAAACAAAATGCACTTATCCTATCACTCCTAGATCCTATCACTCCTAGAGATAATTAAGATAACTTTGGGATGTGGACTTGAGCAAATTGGTATTCAGCTGCCCGGGGCGAGCTTGGGTGCAAATAGTATTGGGTAAGGGGCACTCTTTTCTGGATAAGATGGGAGGAAAGGAAGCAGGCTGTTTTTGTAACTGGTGTCATGCATAAATCTAGGAATGGAGCGTCTGCCCAGCATCAAGTCTGCCTATATCATTCATCGCCAGTTTGCCAAAGTTGTTTGTTCACTGCTTCCCATTAGGGATAACAATAGTCCCTGCACACAGGAATGGGCTGTTTCTCTTGCTGAAAACTTTAGGTCAGGGGTTTTCAAACTTCAGGGGTTTCCAAACTTGGCAACTTGAAGACTTGTGAACGTTAGTTCCCAGAATTCCCTAGCCAGTCATGCTGGCTGGGGAATTCTGGGAGTTGAAGCCCACAGATCTTCCAAGTTGCCAAGTTTTGAGACTCCTTGTTTTGGTCACGCTATTACATTTTCTCCTGAACACCTGGCCCACACTGTTAGCCCCAGGCCTCCCTGGGAGAATTAGTTCTCAATAAGAACTAACTGGAGACAAGCTTTATGTCTGCTTTTCGGTTCTTTCATGTTGATTTGTATCTGGTCGATGTCATTTCTTCACTGCCCCGTTTTTTCCGAAGCAATTAACTTGTGTTCCCATTGAAAACCAAGTTGGTGAAATAGCTATTATGATGGCCTAGTAACAAGAATGTGTCTTTATTTGTTTATAAGGGTATGTGCTTATTCTGAGTTTGCTAGAGAAGATTTAAAAAAAAAAAGACAAAATCCATTTGTACCCACACACATGATATTGCACAACAGACACCAATACCAACAGATTGTCTCCATTCCTGTGTACTCTTTATCTGTAACAATGACTTTGTAGAATCGTTATTTCTGTAGATCTTGTTACTATGTACCAAACTTTGTAGATTCTGTGAAATGTTATTTTAACAAAAATCACCAGAGTCTTTAATAGCAGAATCATTGATATTCACTTAAAAAAAACAATATCTTTAGGAGTTTCTCAAACCCGTATAGAAGATTTCAACACTAAGAAGTAGTGTTATGTTTCCCTGGGGGTGATCCATGGGGGATTATTACTGTATTATGACTTGATGTTGCTGCATAGACTTTGAGACTTAACAACATTTTGGAGGTTTTTGTTGTTTAGCCTATGTTCTCTTGCATAGTGTGACATCTATAAAGCTTGGTTAACTTGTATATAGATAGTTCATTGTTTACTAGTCAAAGTGTATCTAGAATTGCCTGTAATATTTTAGCTTCTTACTGAATGTGAGTGATGGTAGGAACATATAATTTTTGTACATTATATTTACTGAGATGTTGCCTTTTTTATTTTACAAATACTTTGGAATTCAGATGTGTGTTTGCTTCTGTGAACATTAATTTGGAAAGGTTTTTAAAATGACATTCCACTGATTAAAACTTTGCTTGAGGTTGACTTCAATAAATTGTTCTGAATGTTCCAATTAAGAATGTGGTCACCTTTTATTTTTTATTTTTTTTCACAATCACTTTGGGCATGAAGGAAAGTCTGAAAATAACTTTAGACAACTTGAACTAAATATTTTCCTGCTCTTGTCAAGCACATTGCGAGTTATGAATGGGATCAATTCTTGGGAGTAAAATGCCATAATTTCCTTCATTGGATCAGGAATTTGTATGTAGGGGATCAATACAAAAAGATTCAGTTTTGTAGACAAGGTAGTCCTCAGCTTACAACCACTCGTTTAGCGACTGTTCAAAGTTACAGCAACACTGGAAAAAGTTATTTACAACCATCCTCAAGCTTATGTCTGTTGCAGCAGCTTTATGTTCACATAATCAAAATTCGGACACTTGACAACACTCATATATTTACCATGACTGCAGCTTCCTCTTTATGATGTGATCACCATCTCTGACCTCTTCAACCAGGTTGTGACAAGCCAAGTTTCACGTGATCACACCATTCCTTAACCACGGCAAAAAAAAAAAACATAAAATCTGGTGCTACTCATTTAATAGCCTCACTTAGCAATAAAAATTCTGGTCCCAATTGTAGTCATAAGTCAAGGATTTCCTGTACTATGTAAAATGGGTCCCCAAGACCCGGTCCGTGGGGCATGCCAGCAACCGGCCGCAAAAACAAGCAAAGCCCCATCTGTGGGATGCAGGCAGCACACAAAACCACACTCTCCAGTCCGCGGAAAAACCTCATCACCGTACCTAGTTGGGTGACCTAGACCAGGGGTAGGCAACCTTGGCTCTTTTATGACTCGTGGACTTCAACTCCCAGAATTCCTGAACCAGCCATGCTGAGGGGAAAGGGAGAGTTTCCAAGCTGAGCTGTGCTGGCTCAGGAATTCTGGGAGTTGAAGTCCACCAGTCATGAAGGGGCCAAAGTTTCCCTCATGCTGGCTCAGGAATTCTGGGAGTTGAAGTCCACAAGTCATAAAAGTGACCAAGATTGTGGACACCTCTGGCTTAAAGCTTAAGGGACACGTGCTACTCGGCTGGCCTCTTTCTCACTTCTCTTCTTCCAACCTTAGGCCACCATTCTCTCGCCCAGGTTTCAAAGCCAGCCTGGCCGCCTCGCAAAGCCTCCGAGGAGGACCCGAGCGTTTCCCCGGGATATCCAGGGCCCACCAGGATCCACAGGCCAGGCGCTCCCTCCGCTCGGTCCACGTGGCACCAGGCGGGAAGGTAAAGGCCAGGGCCGGGGAGGCTCTACGGAGCCTGGCGGGTGCGCGGAAAGCCCTTCCATAAGGCCGGGGGGGGGAGGCTCCTTTCGATCCCTATGCCCGGGAGGGAGGGGGGCTTCTGCCTCTGGCTCCCCCCGCAGGTCTCATCCCGCGAAGGAGAAGAAGCAGGCGAGCCCCGTGGAGTCGCTGCTCCCCGGCCGGGCCCGTCCATGGAGGCCATTCCCGCCCTCGCCGGCCTTGGAAGCCCCCCCCCCCCCAGGGCGAGACCCAGGCCGGCCCGAGGCGGGAGAGGAAACGGCCAATTTGTACCTTCCCGAGGAAGCGCCGGGGCTCCGCTCCACCCCGCTTTCCCTGGAAACGGCGGGATTGGGATGGGGGTTTTTTTGGGGGGGGAGAGTTTAGGGTCGGGAACGAGGCTTTTTTTCCTCCTTCCCCCACGCGCCCCCCAGGTCCCATTTTTTTCCCCCTTGGAGAGGATCCAGGCTCCGCTAAAATATTCCGCTCTGTCCTGAGATGCCCTCGCTCCACCCCCCCTCCCCGTTTTGGTCTCCCTCTTTGCGGAGTTTGCAAAGGGTCTCCCTCCAGGCAAGGCGTGGGAGCGAGGGGGGGGGGAGAGTCAGTCCGGGGTTGCCCAGCTTTGTTATCTGCCTCGCTTTCCGTCACGGGATGGAAGGAAAAAAAGTTTGCAGGGGGGTCCGGCGGCCGAGTGCTCCGCTCCTTCCTTCCTTCCTTCCTTCCACGCCCACCTACCCACCCGCCTGCCCGCACCTCTCCCGCCCTCCGTGGACGCTGGTGCTGGCGAGCCCCGAAGCTGGACCGCGCCGGGCAAAGAGGCTGTGTTGGGGGGTGAGTGCAGCATCTCTCTGAAGCTCCAAAGCCTCTTCTTCTTCTCTCTCTCTCTCTCTTTCTCTTTTCTCTCTTCCCCTCTTTTCTCCTCCATCCACCCCCCCCCCTAGGCTGGCCCAGTTCCCAGGGTTGTACTGCGATCAAACCCTCCAGCCTGGAGGGGGCTGAGCTCCGGCTCTTGAACCCGCCTCCGCCAGATCTCATTTCCCTAAAAGAAAAAAGAGAGGGAGAGAGAGAGAGAAAGAGAGAGAGAGAGAGAGAGAAAAGAGAAAAAAGAAGGAAGGAAGGAGGGGGGGAGCCTCCCATCTCTTTCCATTTCTCTTTCCCCCCTCCTCCTCCTCCTCCTTCCCCCCCTTCCCCACTCTTGTTTCCTTCC